CTCAAAGTGACAGATTCGCTCTGGACCTTTTGGAGGGAAAAGTGTCGGTTTTATTTTGACTTTCAATTATTTTGTGAAATCTAGTTTACAAGTGGAATAGGGTAGTGCTATTGTGCCTTAATCGAAGATTAAAACGCGAAATTATACGAATCTCGAACTAAAATACACGTATCGGCCCGTTTTAAGGAATCCCGAGTCAATCCACGCACGCCGCCTCAAATTGCCTATCCTCTTTGTGGCGGCCATATTTACAGAAACATATTTAAACTTCATGTTTAGGCTGATGGCTTTGCCAAAGCCTTAATAAATTTAAAAAAAAATCAAAGTGACATTGGCAAGACTCCTCTTATCAAAACATTAATTTGCTAACTTTCGTATCTATCATTTAAATATTGTCTTAACGATTTTGTCACATTGGGTTTTCTTTTTTACTTTACGTCATTATTGTTTAATTAGGTATTTTATAGTTGTATTTTATAGCTTTAATGTTTTATGTGTGTACTATAAAATAACCATTATTTAGGTAAACATTCAATCATGCTTAAAATGAAACTTACGTACAAGAACGTTACCTAATATATGGCCGAACTGAATCAATTGTGTTGTGTTCTTGCCTCTATTCTAAAATACATTGTTTTGCAATTCCTTTATTTACTTCTAAAAATACACCAAAATCATTGACTTACAAATTATATGGACGTCGGTCCGAAAAGTGTCCGCACTTGTAAGGCGCTAAAATCGTATACAGAGCGCGACACTCCGCTTTAGTCTTCATTTGTTCTACTGACAGCGCGATACTGCGATGACATTACAATTTAAATTTCGAATAGGTTGACTTGGGACATTTTTTCGTGGTTTTTGTATTAGACTCGTCGTCCATTTATTTGTAAGTCAATGACCAAAATATATTAATTACTAGACATAAATTAAAACGTAAAATTATACTAGCAAAGTCCTTTAACGGCACTTCGTTGATTTTGGGTCAGCTTTCGCCAGCCTTCTTTCACTTTATAATTGATAGTGCAATTTATCCACTGGTTTGTGAATTTATAATTATAATTTATCTCTGCGAAATTTCGAAGAAAAAAGCACTACTTTATCGCGATAACCTTACAGTACTAATAGACTATCGCGATAAAGTTGACTCAGAAAGAGAGGTGTTATAAAGTTTTGAGGAGAAGAACGAAAGATGAAGAAAGAGACGTCATAGTCAATCTGCCACATTCTTATGTTGACTGCGACAAGCTTCCAGGGTGACTTCTTGACAGGTCCACGGTTTTTTTATGGAAATATGTGACAATTTTACAATGACGTCTCTAGGATTGAGAGGCGGGATTCTAAAATATTAGTGATAAATATAATTATTTAGTTATTATTAGAATAATACTTATAATAAACGTTATTGTTCCTTGTTTTAAGGTTAATCGCTATTTATTGGAAGAAATAAAACATTTACGTTCAAAAAGATTTTTATTAGCACAATTTTATCTACAATAGCCATTGACTTACAAATAAATGGACGACGGGTCTAATACAAAACCCACGAAAAAAATGTCCCAAGTCAACCTATTCGAAATTTAAATTGTTATGTCATCGCAGTATCGCGCTGTCCGTAGAACAAATGAAAACTAAAGCGGAGTGTCGCGCTCTGTATACGATTTTAGCGCTTTACAAGTGCGGACACTTTTTAGCGCGGACCCGACGTCCATATAATTGTAAGTCAATGACAATAGCTAAGGGTACAACAATGTTAAAAGTACAACGGTATATACCGTTGTATTACTTATTATTACATCTAGCTTTGGAACAAGGACAAACCAGATGACAAACTTATTTTTGTTTGGTCAATTGCACTGTGACTATGACATATATCACACGTCATACAAAGATACGTCGGAAGTTCGTCAGTTCTCAACGGTCAGACGGCTACAAAACGATGAAATTAATAAAAAAAAACTGGTATGTGGGCTCAAAATATCACTGCACAGTTCACAAAAATTATGCCAATGAACTGAAAATGAATTTTTCTGCGTAGTAATATACGCTCGGCAAGCTATAGGTAATGTGGCTGACGATGGTACGACTTTGTCTAAAAAAACGCCTATTCACTTCAGCCTTGAATTTAGTCAGCTTGACCGTTCAGGAAATCTACCATGAGGTATTTTATATACAAATATTTGTATACAAAATGTTCTCCTCCTCCTCTTGTGACTGTTAATAATTTGCCATATGAAGTTGTCAAGTATCACATGCAGTATCTAGTGATAATTACCGATTTAGACTCGTGCAGAGTGTCGGAGGGCGGTGGTTTTAGGGAGCCTTCAAATAGAAGCGCAACACTGTTTAGAAACATGCAGCGCCAGTGTGGTGACACTCACGCCTTACTTTAGCAGTCAAAATTAGACGTAGTTAAGCAAAATGGATCCGATCCATAAGATTATAAAAAAATGAGTTATATGTACCAAACGGTTCCTAAAGTCTAACCTCTTAAATCAGAAAAAAAATCCAACATGTAAACATTAATAAATATCTCTGTAGTTACATGACATTATAAGTTTAGAAAATAAAACAAGAGAGAAACATTTTCAAAATTTAAACTGCCATATCTCGAAAGTGAGACTGCCATATCAGGAGACTGTATATAGGCTGAGAGTTGCACAGAGGGCCTTGTTGACTGACTTCCGAACGTTGAGATCCGACGACTGGCGAAAGCCCAACTCAAATGGGGTTGGGCTTCACATAGTAACGGGAGGTGATGGCAGATGCAGCAAGATGTCGACTGATCTGTGGCCGAGGATGGGCAAAAAAGTGTCTGGGTGGATGGGCAAAAAAGAGAAAGGGTCGACGGAACGTCAATGGATGCGGCTAGCACAGGACCTTTGTGGTTGGCACAAAATTCGGGAGGCCTATACCCAGCAGTGGGTGAAATCTGGCTGTGGATGATGAAGGAAAATATATATCACATTTTGATTGCGTGCGAACTAGAGGGCGCCAGGTGCTAATTGCGCCCGAGTGTTACATGGTCTAGAGCCTGCGCTGACATCTAGTATAGATCACTCATGGTAGAGGTATAGATCATTTTTACGTTAACCAAGTGTAACAAATACGATAATATACATTTTAAATAAAAAAAGTTACATTGCACATGCGCTGGACCATATAAATCTTGCGTCTATATGTCTTTGGTTTCCTGTCCTCGGCCACATTGTCTAGGAAGCAACACAAAACAAAAATAAACTCCTTAATCTTCAAATATAAACTGCTCTCATACTGATAAAATTACATTTAATAAAAATAAGCTATTAAAACATGTATAAAATTAAGTAAAATGAGGTTAACAAAATTGCGGTAATTGAAATGGTGAAGTTATTTATTTATTATATATATGTCTAGAAGTTTCAAAGGTAAATCCTACCTGCTACAATGTGCATTGCTAAAATTACAAGGAATTCAATTCCAAGAGAGGAATGTGTTTTTAATAGTAGCTATGTTGACCTACAAAATCACATTTGAAACGACACTAACACAGAAATAAAAACTTAAAACTTACTTCATGTGCTATGAGACCGGAAAAGCATTGGCATCTAAATAAATCCAAAAGGAACAAACGGCTTCAGGAAAGATCTTAACCTACATAACAAGAACTATCACGCGATCCTGCTTGATCACATCGAAAATAATCACATTCCTCCCTTAAATATATCTATGAGACGTTCCAAACAGGTAACAATTCCGACATAAATAAATGAAGACAACTTATTGTGTTTCTTTCACTTTGCGGTGATAAATTTACAAATGTCGAGTTCTCTTAAAATTTAGTTTCAATTTCAACTTAAGCTTAAATATAAGATAGCTTCCCACATTCACAAACTTGAAAAATCGATTTCCGAGTCATATTATTTCAGTAACAACATTGGTGGACAATAACGAAGGCTAGAATGCAAGGCCCATTTCATCGTACGTGGTGAAAATCTTGACGATAGACGTGATGTAGGCTGCCGTTCGCAAGTCTAAGCCCAAATTATGCGCAATTTCAGCGCGAATTACATTCTGTAAATAATAAAAACATAGATTCATCATTACATTCCTTGTCCTGTTGGCCGAGGACGTAATCGAGGTCCTAATCAATGAAAACGGAATATAGATAACGTATAAAATAAAAGGCGCAAAAAAGCTATAGCAGCGTGTATTCTCTATACACGCTGCTATAGCTGATAATGATGAGCAAAGTGCAGGGAAAAAGAAGCACTGGGCGAAGAAAGAAATCGTGGCTGCGGCAGATCCGGGAGTGGACCGGCATTGCCTCCGTCGAACAATTGTTCCGGTTGGCTGCAGATAGAGACTGATACAGGAAGCTGACGGCCAACCTTCTAGATTGAAGAGGCATTCTAAAAAGAACAATAAAACATACAAGGTAAAATCGGGTTTTAACCCCCTACACATATCTGCCTTTGTCTATACAAAGACAGAGATGGGTAAGGGGTTAAAACCTAATAAAACCGCTCGGATTTAGGTTCTGCCTAAAATGGTGGATGGAAATGGGCGAATACGGAATTTACTAGATATAATTCCACACTTATTACAAATTTCAATGTAAAATATCTTTTGTAGATGAAAACGAGGCAACTTCACACAATTCCTACCTTCCAACCCTTTGGATTCTCACGAATAGGGATGATTAGGATTCGACTTTTCTGAAAATCGATTGAAGTGCATGATCTAACGATTTTTTGTATCGATTTATTTCAATGCGAATTTCACGCGAATCGTTTGAATAGAAAGTTAAATCGAATTGGTCTAGATAAGAAAGCAATAAATACTTTATAATAATATCATGAAAATTGTACAAAACTCGATTTACAATATTTAGGAAATAATAATAATAACGCTCACACTCAACATAGCCCCGCACTAGGGAAACCCTGTGTCGCGGGTGCCATGGACACACACATAGACAACCACAAATTAAATTCAAACTCACGAGAGAAATAAATGTAGGCCATTCAAATATTTCTCCCGGCGGCCCGGGAATCGAATCTGGGACCCCTGCGTGACAGTTCGGCATGGTAACTGTTTGGCCACGAAGGCAGTTAAATATATGCCCATATCTGGACAAAGATGATAGTGTGGCGTAGCGCACAAAAAAAAGAGCGGTTTTTTTTACACTGACAGAAAAGTGCGAGCTGACGGATCTTGATCCGTTTTAAAATTTAAGTAGCGAGGCAGAGGGCGCCCAAGTGGGTACGGAGGTTGGCTCAGGACGCTACTGAAGACTTCCGCCGGAAGGGCGGCTGTAGTAGTGAATTTCCGCGAGTAGGTACACGTTGGAACTGTATTCGCGCAGATTCACTGTCATTTCGTGCAGAGTGTGCTTGAGTTGCGACGTTGTCGACAGTCATCAGGATCGTTGAGGACTTCCTGGTCCTACGAACGCGGAGAGGATGTTTCCTGAGGGGATGTAATTGGAAATAGCCACACGAGGGGGCTGGGGTGGTGAGGAACAGAGTCGAAGTATGTTTAGTTGTAAATGTACAAGTTAACGTTGCGAATAAATCTATTTTGGACAGCCTGCAGTCGGTGGATATGAACGGGAAAGACAGCGGAGCCTGAAGGGGACCGCTTATATACGCCCTTTGTCGCCAGCGAGTGGACAGGGCGGCACAGTCTATCCGACGCAGCATTCGGCGCAGACGTTCCAGATTCATTAAAGGAAACAATTTAGAAATCTTATCACAGCATGTTCTTCGTTGTATCCTTGGATCAGCAGTTCCGCAGCACTTTGGGGATCCGCTAGTAAAGCCGTGGTGTCTTAGAAAGCAAGCAACCGTCACGCGACACTTATGGTTGGTGAATATATTATTTCAAATTATGCCGGCTGGCCCTAGAGTAATTCATTACACTACATTTCTTAAACTAACTAAACAGATCTCTTATGATTATTAATAAAAAGATTGAACACATGCAAAATTTTTCTTTTCTTCGACCCGATGGGACTTGACCCACGACCATACTGCACCGTAGCATTGCTCTTATCAACTGAGCTACGAGTCAAGTTATCGAGTTGTCGAAATTCTCCCATATGTAATAATCATAGTAAAAACTAAAGGAGTTATTCATTACCTTTCGATTGAATCTAATATTCTGCTGAAACCTGAAGCTGTTCCTGCAGCAGGCAATGGAAATACACAGTTCAGGGTTGCAGCGGAAATGAATCGCAGATAACTGACCTGGCAGGCGTTAGTCATGGAGTACTCGAGCCCCGTGTTGACGATGATCTCCTCGTTGGCGCCGGACATCATCGTGTGGAACAGTTCGGTGGGCGCGATCTTCGCGTCGATGTTCGCTTTCTTCAACGACTTCTCCACGGAGTCTATCGCAAACATTTAATACTCACCGGGTGAACAATTTTCAGTTTAGAAGCCTAAGAGCCTAAACACACGGCGTATTTTATACGCACCGAAGACGCACAGATGACGCGCGTTATCACGATTCAAACGCGATGCAGCCACAGCGAGTAAACCTTTGTTCACGTTCACAAATTCAGTGGCGTAGTAAACGGGCGTCATTTGCGCGTATACGCACCGCAGACGCGCTGTAGCTGCGCATATTTATCGCGCGTTTTGATAAGAGATAGTATTCATTTTAGTTTTGTTTGTTAATTACAGTTAGTTTTTGAAATGAAGCAACTAAAAATATAAAAGCTTGCGTCTCTCTAAACATATGCTAAAATCATCATTCAGCCATACGACGCCCACTGCTGGGCATAGGCCTCCCCCAACGATCTCCACGACGATCGGTCCTGCGCTGCCCGCATCCATCGGCTTCCCGCGACCTCCACCAGATGTGCCGTGTGGTGCCGGCCTAGAATAGCACCACCCCCCTTCTTAACCTGTGGGTGTCGTAAAAGGCGACTAAGGAAAAAATTGTCAGAAGAAGACGGGCAGCAGCGTCTTCTACTCATCTTGGCAAGAACTGCGATCGCCAACCCGCCTGCCAAGCGTGGCGATTATGGCACGACCCCCCCTATGATATGCTAAAATACATAAGAGAAATTACTTAGTAACTGTACTAAATTATATATTTTATTCGGTTTTGGGAGTTTATTTTGCATGTAAGTATTGCAACTAGTGTGAAAAGGATAAAAAATCACAGCAAAAGTTGTTTTCAACATGAAATTCTAAGTGTGAACTCCAGTGGAGTAAAATGAAGTATAATTACACTTCTTGCAACGCTATGCTTTGAAAGCGCGTCCGTATCGCTTTACGTGCGTTTGTATCGATACAAACGCAACAATCTGCTTTTTGAGCCTCTACGGCGCCGTAAACGCGCGTTCGTGAAACGGTCGCTGCAGGAAACCCCGAGGTTGCTTTTAAATCGGCAGGGGCTCATTGTTAAGGAGACAGTTAATTCATCGGGATTGCAACTAAACTATCAATAGTGAAAGAACAATAACATTGGGAGATCGTTAGATGAACTACATTGATTTGTACGCTAATAAACCATACCTAGTAGTGCTGTATTAGAGTCCCTCCAAAACTTGATACTCAGTTTCCCGAAACTGACATGGTTCAAGTTCTTGAGGAACTCGAAGTAGGAGACGGTAACGCCGCCGGCGTTGCACAGCAGGTCCGGAATCACTAGAATCTTCTTGTTGCGGAGAACCGCGTCTGCTGAAGGTGTTATTGGACCGTTCGCTCCTTCAGCTATTATCTGAAAAAGGTGTCTCTATCTGACACAGGGATTGGGTGCGCCCGATAGTCTTAAGACACAACCACAAACACCTAGACCTGATACTATATAGAAAAACTTCTACATTAACCCGGCCGGGGACTGAACCCGCGACTTCAGTTATGGCTAAAACAGTATCTTGTCAAGAAACGTCAAAACCGAACTTATAGGTCAGGCCGTTACATGACGCTAATGTATATAATAGTACATAATACATATAGGTACTATTTTTCTTCGGGTCCGCGCTAAAGCGTCCGCAGCTGTAGACCTTTAAAATCACACACAGAGCGTTAATCGCGCGTCAGTCTTCGTTTGGTCGGCTGACAGCGCGCTTGTCAATCATGCAGTACCATATAAACCTGTACAAATTATTCAAAGAGAAAAAACAGGATTTTGCATCATATTTTCATTAAGGAAATATATTGTGTTATCATAATTAACATTTAAAAGTGTTATTTTGTACAGTTGTATAGTATTTAATTTTATTTCAATTAATCGCAAATATAAATTACAAAAGCAATCAAAATAATCAAATAGCCAACTGTCCTTTTCCTACACATTGCATGCGCAAAAGACAGAAAGAGATCCGCTATGTCAATTTCAAATGTTGATGTTAGACAGAGAACGGGAATAGGCCTCCCTAGTCCGGTTCATTTCCATCTTTTTATCGTTGTCGTATGGTGTCGACTAAAATGAAAACAGTCCTTGTAGCACTCCATATTAGATTTATCGTTAATTGCACTTTACATTTATCATTTGTTTGTAACTCGGAATACTGAAATATCGTAATAGCAAACCTTGCACTGCAATTTCGAAGCCACTTCAGAAGTGATGGTCTTCTCGTGAGCAGCGGCTACAATAATATCACACTTTGTGAATATGACGTCTTTGTTGGTCTCCTCGGCGCCTTTATAACCCTTGGCGCTGCCTTTATTGCGCTCTTTGTACTCCATCAACTCCTGTCAAAGGAAAATCGCAATATGTTACATTTTTCGATCCTGTCGGCACTGCAGCTTGATCGCCATAAATCAACACTGTTGTAGTGTACAGTGAGCACTCACCTCAGAAAACTAAGGATACTGACACATATATTATATATGATCGAGTAAAAGAACATTAGATTGAATCAGTGTCTCTGATGCGAGACTGCGTGTGTTGTCGTCCATATTTTATTTTATTTTTACTTATTATAAGACCAACAGCTATCTCACAGAGAGATAAAAACTGTTGTTGAGTACACGTTCCATAGTCTTGCAGAGAATGGAAGTGCCTGAGATAGGTCTGTAATTGACAGAGTCAGCTCTGCTTCCTTTTTCGGCACAGGTTGCACGTTTGCAAGCTTCCACGACCTGGGAACTACACCAGTCTCAAGTGAGAAGCGGTACAGTCGTGTGAGAACAGGAAATAACTCAGGCGCACGGTTACGCAGGCTATTGCTGGAATTCCATCTGGCCCGCTAGTTTTATTAACGTCTAGATTCCGCAGAGTTCTAAGTATCTCTTTTTGACGTATGCGAACTAGCGCCATAGTGCAACCAGCCTGAGGTACGGTAGGTGGTGGGTTCCCTACGGCATCCAGACGCGAACTCTCTGCAAAGAGTGAGCCAAAAAGATTCGCCTTCTCTTCCGCAGTATGAGCCAGCGAGCCATCGGGCCTCAGCAGAGGTGGCAAAGATGGGCGACAAAAGTTAGATTCGACCGCTTTGGCCAGGGACCAAAAGGATTTTCTGCCTGCTGGATAAGAGGCAAGCTTAGCCCTTATACGGCGCACATTTTGGCGGCCTTATTAAAAGCTTTCTTCAAATTCCGAGTACTCGGAGCTTTGTGTAGTCGAGCATCTGCCCCCTAGCTTGGTACGCGGACTGTTTATGAGCTTCAGCACAACTACAATCAGCTTTAAACCATGGACGAGCTTGGGGTCCATTGGGTACATGACACAGATTATGGTATGTAATACTCCATACCCAAACGCAAGACCTCGACTACAGCATCGGCATAGCTCGACGAGTCTAGCAAGTACGACGACAAGTAAAGCACGCCTGCCAGGGATATGACGCAAAGAAATGGCGTATTTCGTCCCAATCTGCTAACTTGTATCGCCACACCCGTTTCATACCACTAGGGTCCTGATCGGGTGGGGAGTATACAGATACAGTTTTCAGACAATGGTCGGAAGTACCCTGTGGGACCTCCACAACCACAGAGTAGCGGTCTGGATCAGTTGTTAACAGAAGGTCCAAGCAATTAGCCTTATGAGACTCAACATCTAGGATCCTGGTGGCGCCACTCACAAGCTGGGAAAGGCTTAGCGTTAACGCAAGTTTACGCGTCTCCCAGCGTGATCGGTCATCTGGTATGGGAACAACCATTCTTGATGGTGAGCATTAAAGTCCCCTAGAATGACTCAGTTGCGCCGCCGGGTACCTGAGCTGAGCCTCATCAGACGTCTCACTCAGACGTTGGAACAACTTGGTCGTCTCCTGATCTCCACTGTGCGAGTGGTAGACACAGCTGTACACTATTTGTGTAACTCCCGTGTCAACCAAAAGCCACAAAATAAAAAAAACTCGGTGCCTCAAGGTTCTTGAGACGCTTGACATAGATATCATTGCGAACGTACACACAGACTCGGGCACGAGGTACGAACCTGTGCAACAGAGTATACCCGGGGTAGCTGAGGTACGCTGCGTCAGTCGGAGTCGGACATCTGATCTGCGTCTCGGTGAGAAACAGCAGCTGCGGTTTGCCGGTTTCAAGGTGGTAGTTTCGAACTTGGCTTGGCATAACACTCATTTGTATGTCTTGGCTGTCTTATTAAATTCTTCAGTTTCAGAGCATTCGGCGCTTTGTGTAGTCGAGTATATGCTGTTTGGGGTCCATTGGGTACATCAGAGTATGGTATGTACTCCACACCTCAACGCAAGACTTCGACTACAGCATCAGCACAACTCGACGAGTTCCCTGAACTAGAGCACGCCTGTCAGGAATATGAAGCAAATGGCATTGCGTCCCAATCTGCTAACCTGTTTCGCCACACCCGTCTCATACCGCCATCTGGTCGGGTGGGGAGAGGTTTCAAAAGACAAATGATAGAGCAATTACGACTAATTCCAGAAAGCATTAATAAGGCATAAGGATTCCAGATGTTAAGTGTCATAGTCGTCTGACATGAATCCTGATGGCGCTACTGACAAGCTGGGAAAGGTTTAGCGTCAACGCAAATTTTCGCGTCTGTCTCCCAGCATAATTAGGACATTTGGTATGGGTACAACCATTCTTTCATTCCCCAGAATAACTAGCAGAGCTTCTTCCTCGGATGTTGGAACATCTTGAACAGAGAATTGAAGACTGAAAACGAAGATGTTTAATTGCTTGTCTCTAAAATATGTATATTTTTTTAAGGTATTCGTATTGCTGTTGATTTTTTTTTTATTATAATTCGAGGCGTTATTGATCTCATTACATGTGACTTCTATAAAAAATAATTTACAAAACACTAACTTTTTTTATGATATATAAATGCGCATTTGACCTCCATCTCACCTGATGACGATGAGGTCGACGGCGGAGCATGTACATCTAAATAATGTCTATTCACTCTCGCCTTGAAAAGGCCCAAGTAATAGCGTTCAGGGCACAAGTCTGCAGGCAGGTAATTCCACTCCATAGCCGTTCGCCATAAAAATGTGGAAGCGTAACGCTTCGTGCGAATATTTGGAATATCCACAACATAGGGGCGGAACCCAAGCCTACGCCTAGTGATGAAAAGGTGAAAGTGGAAAACCATTTGGCAACTCGACTGCATCGGGAGGGTGGTGACTAGGCACGGCCCAAGCCAACGACCAATAGTTATAGCTCTTTAGCACCACCTAGGGTTCAGTTGTAGGGTCTCGAGGGTAAACCTACGGAAGCGAGCGACATCAACCCCCAAACTTGCTGTTTTTTAGTTTTCGGACGCTTTGAAACAATTATTTTGGTGACAATAGAAAAATATCCGAAAAAACCGGGTAACCGGTTAACTAAGACTTAATAACCGAAAAAGCCGGTTTTTAAAATCATTCGGTTTTTGCATGCTCTAAACACTAGTGTTAAAACGGTCATTATCAATTTGCTTGGACAATTAAAGCTATTACTCGCACGCGAGAGATATATGCATTCGACCGAAAATTCGAAGAGGCCAGAGGTACGCACAAATTTGAATTAAACCTAAGGGACTTTGTACACTCTATGCTCTATCTCTTAGAGCCTTGGACACTAATTCCGTGGAGTCCACGGCACCAGAAGCACTTTTCGCAAAAATATTAGGGGTCATTAGGGAATATTAGGGGGCATTGAGTAGAGTGCTGGAATACGACCCTAAGAGTCGTATTCCAGAACTCTACTCAATGCTCAAGTTAGGACTTGAATATGATTTAAAGCACTGAAAATCATACTCAAGTCCTTGCCATTAAGGTCGCATTTCCAGTGCTTGAAATCATACTTAAGTCTGCTCAAATCCTGTCTTGAGCATTGAGTAGAGTTCTGGAATACGACCATAAGTCTGTCATCTGACGTAGCAACTCTAGTGGCTAAGCATCAGAGGCGTGATCGACGGAAATCGTACATTAGTAGAGAATTGCGGCAGCGTGTTGCAGCCGCGGTTTTAAGTAATGCCGCCGCCGCGGTACCTACATGTATGAAAGTGTGTAAACAAATGCTAGTACTACTGCGGCGCCGCAGTGGGAGCGGTGCCGCTGTTGTTACGGCACCTTGTGTAATCAATCAGCCAAAGTGTCGTCCATTGCTAGCTACCCTGATTCACAAATACACAGTGCATCGGCTAAATTCGTAACATGCCGATATTGTATAGGCACAAATAAAATTTTGTCTGTATCGCGTCTGAAATATTACGCACCTTTGTGTTGATTCCTTTGTCGCTCTTGAGGCAGGTGTCGAACTCGACGATTCCAATGATCTTGACCCCGTGGTTTTCTAGGTACAACGCGGCGTAACTACCCACGTTGCCATACCCTTCAATCACCGCAGTTTTGTTCTAAAACGCCACAGAAACGTGTGAGACCACACAGAAAAGTGTGAACCTGAACCATCCCTCCAACCTTCCAAGTTACTTAAAAATAGAGCCATTATCACATAATTCAACTAGACGATATGGTAAAACAGGTCTTCGCCGGAAATAAACTTGCAGCTATCTACCCACCCAACCAAAAACGCTTACCTTGAAACCTGTCTCTAAACCTATCATATCCATGTACTTCTTGTCGTGAATAAAGACTTGGATGGCGATGAAGACTCCTCGCCCTGTAGCTTGCACTCGGCCGTGGATGCCTCCGCCATTGATAGGCTTTCCCGTCACGCATGCCGATGCATTCAGGTCCTGGTATCCTGGACGCAACATCGAACAGGTTATCAACAAGACTTGCCATAGCGTACAAGTCGTATCGTGAGGACGAATACTACAGCAAATTTTGATATACTGCTGGGTCTGCTTTTTCTGATCCTTTATTCAAGGTCGATCTCGTTCATATGACCACCACGAGCACGTTTGCAGAGTTCAACACTTTGGAACCAATTTTCCACCACACTTCCTCACATATCGGACGAAATGTTCGCAATTTCGCGTTTGATATTGTTCCTGAGCTGATTTAACCTTGTTAGCTTGTTGACATAAACCAATGACTAAACGTAACCTCGTAAATAGTAATCGAACGGCGTTAGACCACATGAAAGACACGACCCGATTATCAAACTGCCTCTTCAATAGATCGATTGTTTGACTAACTGCAAACGTGGTCGCGGTGGTGATATGAAGAGATCGAATTCCATTCTTAAATGTAACATTTGTGTCCTGCACCTGGAATAAACTTCAGCACGATATCTCCATTATTCTGTTTTATTGAAATTCAAAATTGTTACGTCCTTATTGGAAAACCTTAAGTAACCAATGTTTTAAGCTAAAACAACTGGATAGACTAAGAGTCGTATTCCAGAACTCTACTCAATGCTCAAGTCTCCTCTGGACGATGCTAATTTCCAGGCAAACTACTGTCAACAGCGGTTCAAGTCTAAATATATTTGAAATTATGTTATTAATCTACTGTACCACATACTGCTGTACTGTTTATAAGATTTTGCACTATAATTGCAATGATCGCACACTCAATAAAGGATAAATTTAATTTGCGGAATAACTACTACTTGACCGTCAGTTCTCTTGTGAAAGAATGTTTACCTGCTACATTGTTTCATTAATGTATCTCATGACTAACAGCTCCTGCAAAAGGATCTCAATCTTCGCGAGTTTACAATCAGGTCATAACTTACCCAAAGTCTTGATGTATGTGTCGACGATCCAGGACATCTCCCTTCCAGATGTGTTTACATCCGGAGCAGGAACGTCTATGCCTGCTCCTGAAGACATGCAACTTTTATGAGACTTGATTACTAATTTTCGAAATTCAAAGAGACAAACATTTGTTTCATTAGTCACAGTTAGACGCCTATAGGACTTCGGCGTATTATCTTCAAGCTTTCATGGTTACATGGTTATGGTAACACCGTGGAGTGTTCCCTTTCGAGTCATGGAAAAGTAAAAACAGGTATTTACCAATGTAGTTCTTCTTGGCCAACTCTAACGTATATCTTCTGGTAATTCTCTGTAGTTCAGCAACAGAGTAGTTTCTAGGATTTATGGCAATACCTGCAAGGATAAACAAAATATACGTTCTATTGTCCTTGCAGTTCTTTGAAAAAAACAAAGCATTTTTAAACCGCGGTTGTTGTCCCAAAATATAAGAAAAATTATCATAGCGTCGCATTTTACTTTTCTGACAATAATTTGCTTGTATTAATGGCTTTGTATAGCTAACGGCGGTCGAAAAATTATCTGAAAAGATGGCTGAAACAGAACCGTATATCTGGCGCGCAAAGCACATTTCAATAAAAATTTAAGTTACAATTAATAGCAACATTTCTAGCCAGGGTTGGTAGCTGTAAAGGTATCTAACTAGGCGACGAAAATACTTTCATAGATTTTTTTCAACAAAGATCCGAAAAATTCGTGAGGTCCACTGGTTCGTTCCGTGGCTTAGTGGGCGTCTGGCACGGTTTGCTAGGAGACGTTGGTTCGAAACCGTCCGGATCAAAGGATTTTTTTCTAAGCGTTCGATTTTTGTATTAATAATTATAAGAAACTACTTATTATAACGAATGTAAATTTCCTACCTCCGTTGTTAGGAGACAGAAACAGCCGTGGTGGTCTGATGGTTTGACCTCTGAAGCAGAGGCATTGGGTTCGAATCCGTGTTCGCACTTCTGAGTTTTCGGAATTTACGTGCGAAATTAATTCGAAATTAACTTCGAATTTTTCGGTCAAAGAAAACATCGTAATGAAACCTTCACGTCTAAGAACGTTCACAACACTCGGAAAAGTGTCAAGTCCCGACCCGCATTGGCAGACTTCCGTCTAAAAATCTCGCCTGAGATAAGAACCGTGCCTAGCAGTGGGACATATAAATGGGTAGATGATGTTAGGAGACAGAATTACACCGTACCTCCTTTAGCTCCGCCGAAGGGCACGTTAAGACAGGCGCACTTATACGTCATCAGCGCTGCAAGTGCCTTCACCTCTCCTTGATCCACCTTATCCGAGAATCTGATACCTGGATCACGTCCGAAATTAATTGCTTTTTATTGTACTCTAACCTAAACCGACTTTATGCAGCCGAAATCGACTGCATGCAGTTAATGCATGAAGTCGTTATCAACTTCATGCAGGCGTGATTTCGGTTTGTCATTGGCTAGTTAACATAGACAATTGGTAGGTACAAACTTAATTCTTCACTAGATTGATTAATTATATATATCATCATCTTTTTTTATGTAAAACGTTTTCCAAGATGACACAAAGACCTTTTAATCATATTTAAGAAACGACTGCTTCGAATGTTGTGACGTAACGGACCTCTACCTCTGCATCCGGAACAGTGGAAGTTACGCACACTTTTCACATCTTCTTCCGCGACTTATATAACGGATCTTTAATGTTTTAAACGCTTCGAACGTGTCGACGTTGTGTTGAGTATTTGGAACTATTTCATTGAGATCTTTATAATATGTGCACTTTCTGATTCGCTTCCGTTTCCGGTAAGATATACTTTAGACATCTGTTTCCGTTATGGCATCTCTATAAAATACGGTTTCAGTAATACCTATAACACGATATAAAAGAAGTAAAAAGAGCATTGAAGTACCTCCTTTGCAAGGGAGTCGGTGGACACTGTGCTGGGAACGGTACGCGTGAATGATTTCGTAGCAACCATTTTTGCGCTGTAGTGGGAACTCGAACTGTATTGAGCTGTTGCATGATCCCATCACCTGTAATAATAGGTACAATTAGAATTCAACAAAAATGCACGTAGCAAAGACAAACTTTCAAATTTTCAAAGATTTCTTTATTATTTATTATAAAAATCTTTGAAAAATTTCCATATTACAAATCCATGCAAATTTACAATTAAATGCATAAAAAATACATGTAGCAAAAAACAATTCATCACTAAGTACAAAATAAACACATTTCTTGTAAAGTCTCAGAATTTATGCAGGATAGTGATCTCTAGCAGAATGCTCTTGACGTATATTTATATTGAGTACCTAATTCAAACATACATTTCTCTGGCGCAAATTAATATGACAAGTTATTATAATACATCTCAGTACAGAGTACTAAAAAAACCAACCTCAAAAGTACGTGGAATTACGTCTATTTGCTAAGCTTAATTGAAATATCCCCTAGTTCGCCACTATACAGGACTTGACACTGGAGATAATAAAAATCGGTTCTCACTACTCAAAAGTATATTGAGAGAAAAACGCCTTGAATTGGAGAAATAGCAAAATCAACCATTAAAGTAATTGCTCCTAAATTAAAGTTAAGCGCTATTTATAAAAATGAATCTTCATGCGTGAACAGCCACCCTTCGAGGTGGATGATTTTCTTCAAAATGAAATGGAACCGCTATGGAAGTACCCCATTTCCAACAAAAAAAGAATCATGAAAATCGGTTCACAAGTACCGGAGTTATCGCGTAACATAAATACAAAAAAAAGAAAAAAAAGAACATACAGTCGAATTGAGAATCTCCTCCTTTTATGAAGTCGGTTAACTAGATTTAAGGCGAGACATTTCAACGCAAGCGTAGATTTTAGGAGGTGAGTATCTAATAATTTAGTTTTTGACAATAGCTAAACTGATTTAGTCTTACTTAGATGTTGACATAACTAAATCTAAAAAGTACATAAAACACACAAAAAACCAGTACCTACCTTGACAATCACGGCCATTGAAAATAAAGAACTCATAAAAGAAATAAAAGGAAAACGAATTAAAAATGTTTATGCTGAAACGCTATAACATTTGATCCTGCAAGATAGTTACTTGCAACAACTTTTGCTTCATGTAATAAATTCTTGTTAATGCCAAGGAGTGTTCCCAGATGTACTAAAAAAATGGATCCAATATAACATGAACAATTACAGGCCAATCTATGTTCTTGCATGTATATCAAAAATTTTGGAGTGTGTAATAAAGAATAGGCTTCCTAGCTATTTTGAGGCTGAAAATATTTATAATAGTAGGTAGGTAGGTAGGTAGTGCAATGCGGGTTGAAGAAGGGGATATCAACTACAGATTCTACATCCAATGTAGTTAACTTTGCTTTAGAGGCTTTGGATGGTTTGCAAAAATCACGAGCACATTTTGCGATCTTTCAAAGGCCTTTGTTTGCATACATCATAAAATCCTTATGTGTAAGCTTGACTATGTAATATGTGTAAACTATTACGGCCTGGATCCTATTGCATTAAAACTATTAAATAGCTTTTTGAAGGATAGGAATCAATTAGTACAAATTGAAGAATCTATTTCTGTACTAGGAAAGTCAACACATCGGGGTACCACAGGGATCTGTATAGGCCCTATATTATTCCTAATATATATAAATTACTTGCCAAACAGCTTGCCTTAGTGGAGCTTTGTAAATTTATTTACTGATGATTTTACTCCGACACCCATGTCGGAGTAAAAGATAAAGGAAGAGTAAGAATTCAAAAGAAGATAAAAATTTTTTTATTAAAATCCATTCTATACAGTTGACGAAATGTTACCCTTATGGATTAAAAAAAATGCTCATTACTTTATGACGTTTAATAAATCTATTGATAATTTATTTAAGCGCTTTATTTGACAATAATATATTATATATTATGTTAGATATTTTGTTCTTAAAGTAGTTCCGCCACAGAGGCAGTTATCAGTAAAATATTATTGAAGTACATCCTACAAGAACATTCTTTAGATAATAACCTTAAGTGTCTCGTATAAAACTACCTCTGTGGCCGAACAGTTACCATGCCGGACTGCCATGCAGAGGTTTCACGTTCGATTCCCGGGCCGGGAGAAATATTTGTATGGCCTACATTTATTTCTCTCGTGAGTTTGGGTATAATTTGTGGTAGTCTATGTCGACACACGGTTTTATGTTACGTTATTATTACATTTTTTGTAAGACCGTTATAAACCATTTTAATCTAGCAAAACAGTTATTCGCTTCTCATCCGGTGTACCCTGCCAGCGTCAATATGATACTGTTATTTACTTATAACACAAGTTGCAAGAAACGATATTCTATTATATTCTATCTTTAAATCTGCCAAAAGTAACTAGAATGGATTAGTATGCCTGAAAAGATTGATGAGAATGTAAGTAGCTAGGTATCGAAAAAAGTATGTCAGAATCGTGACCAACCCGTCCCACTTGGAGTCAGGAATAAATACGTGTAATTGGTTCTATAACAAAAGTGTTAGACACCTTAAGAATACCAGCGACTCTGTTAGTCCGTTTCTTGTCGGACATGTGCATATGTTTCTTGAGATATTCGAGCAGCGCCGGCTCGACTACCTTCACCGCGTTGTGGTAGTAATATTCCACCATGCGGTAAAAACTCGGGTCCGGTTGGGTAGCCACCTGTCAAATTACCGGAGATTATGCTATTAGTAACAAAGATCGAATACTGAGAACAAATTCCTTTCGATCCGGCTGCATTTAACCATCGTCTCCTAGGAAACAGTGTCAGACGCTATGCCAACTAAGCCACGGAACGAACCATCGGAACTCACGATTTTTTCCACGTGTTTGTTGCAGATCTTTGTTTTGGTTTTAACGACTTTTTGCCGTAGCGCCATCTATGAGAAATCTATGAAAGTTTTTCTTCACTCAGCGAGGTACCTTTACAGCTACCAGCCGTTGACAAGATATGTCACTTTAATAATGATTGTAATTAAGTTTTATTGAATATCAGGATGTTTAATTATTATTTGTGAAATTACTCCACTAGTTTGTTAGGTATAATTATTAAACAAAGATTGAACAATTCAATAAAAATTTAAAATACAGCGAATAGCGACATCTCTCGCCAGGACACTAACTGGGTGATAAATCTTTCATAGATTTCTCATAGATGCGCTACGACTAAAAAGTCGTTGAAAAAACCAAAATACAAAGACACGACGCAAGCACATAGAAAAATTCGTGAGGTCCGCTGGTTCGTTCCGTGGCTTAGTTGGTATAACGTCCGGCACGGTAAGCTAGAAGACATCGGTTCGAATCCGGCCGGATCGAAGGAATTTTTTCTGAACACTCAGATCTTTGTGTTTGAGAGATCATTATATTAATAATTATAACAAACTAGTGGAGTAATTTCACAAAAAATAATTTAATATCAAATTAAATAAAAATTTTAAAAGATTGAACACTTAGAAATATCCACTACAATCCGGTTGGTTCCGAACCAACTCCTAGCCAACCGTGCCAGTCGCCAACTATGCTAATTTATTTGTCTTGAAAACAGTGATACATTTTACAACAAACTCGAACACGGTGCTAATTAGCATGACAACGGTTTCTCACTCAGCGGTCGCTGGGAACCCAAGGCCTCCGTTATTCTACCATAACTTTGTTGAAGTATTGTAATTAAATATCGTATTTTAGGACACCGAGACTTAGAATAATTGGAGGTTGCCAAGCCAAAATAATGTGTCAATCAACATGATCATACTTTTGCGAAAATGGCACCTGAAGTATTTTACGTTGTATTCAAAATGAAAACTTTTGCTGTTGTCACCACATGAATGACAAACTGTTTTGATTTCTTACTATACGCGCCCAGTTACACGAGGACCGCTCAGTTACCACATCTTCATGTGCATTAATGGCGAATTTCAATTCTATTTTCTAGGCAACAACATTTAAATTCCTCTGAATAATACAACCGTGCGGTCGCCGAGCGGAGTCCGCGATGCCGCCGCGTCGACCAATTTCAAGCCAGTCTCGCCCGCCTGCCCAGGACGCTCATTTAAGTTAAAACGTACAAGCTAAACAAATAGAGCGTATTTTGCCATGACAGTTAGATGCACGCGGTCGCTGCGCGGTGGCAATGCGGACTCAGCTCGGCGGCCGCGCGGGGTGAGCGCGATGAAATTCGTGTCGAATAAAAGCGCCCTAATTCCCCAACAACAACAACCACAACGTCGTCAAATCATTTTGTAAGTAAATTTTTGAACAAACTAATAAAAAACTAAAGAATCTATACTTAGGTTGCCATATTCGCAAAACTATGGTCATGTGGATTGACACATTGTGGTTTATAACGTCATATATATATGTATGTTGTCATATCAATCCATTCCAAGCAGGCTCTTGCTTTGTAGGTAATCAGTAGGCTCCTTATGAATGGGCTGGTCCAGGTAAGTGCCACCTTGCCTATTTCTGTCGCCAAGCAGTGGTGTCAGCATTACTGCGTTCCGGTTTTGAAGAGAAAGGGTGTCTCAGGTTGACGGGTGCAGTGGCAGTGCCCCTCAGATCTTTGCGATTTAAAGCTCAGAGTGGTACTGCAACTGTTATGGACAGGCGTGTAGCTTACCACCAGGCGCACGACTTGTTCGTCCCGTCACTTGATATTATAAAAAAAAACCGTCTAGTCTAGTAGTAAATTAAATAGAACAAAATCTATCGGAGTTCCAGTCATTTTTTTATGATACTCTGGTGGTAAGCGATATCCCTGTCCACAACTATTGCAATATGTCGCTCAGAACTTTAAATCGCAAAGACCTGAGAGACATACCATAAGGCGTAAGTTGTAAAGTCCCACATGCCTGTGATTTCACCAGTACCCTTACCTTTCAAAATTGGACCTCGTGTCTGGACCTGGACCTGTACTCTCGTTATTCGTCCGACATCTGTCCGAAACAATTACTGGACAATGTCAAGTATGAAGTATCAGGTATCAAGTATTCGCATCGAAGAACAAGAGTATACCCCCTGAAACGCAGTAGGTAATGCTCACATTACTGCGTGGCGGCAGAAATAGGCAAGGTGGCATTATTTCCTTGGACGAACTGTTTTTCAAGGAGTTCTACGGCTATAAAAGCTATAGGACCTACCTGCACATGGTGGAGCACTGTATGGTATTTAATAGTTATCTGATTATACTCTAGCCACACAGATGTGGCCGCGGAAACATTAATTTTTGTAATCTACGAGTCTAAATGAACACTTAAACGCGCGCCGGCCGCGCGTCGACCGCCTCTGTGTGGCCATAGCATTAGCCATTAATGCCTAGTGTGTCCATATAGACACCAAATTTATGGGGTAATTCAAATCAACATAACAGCAAAATATAATGTTGTTTTGTTATAGTAACTCTTTAGAATTACTGTTGATAGAGTCGGCTGACTATAAATTTGTTGGCGGCACAATTTTTTGCAAATGTTTTTAAAGTTATTTAGAATTTTATTAAAATATTGCTAAAAAAATGGACGGAAGTCGAGAGTAAGTAAAATATTTTATAAATTTTATTACAATCTACACGTTTCTGCATTGGCGGATACTTTGTGATCTTACCCAAAAGCATATGAACACTAAATAACAGCTTGCGCTGCATTTTTTGGTTTTTATGTGGTTCGAGCGCATGTGTCCATATGGACACGCTAAGCCCTTTGCACGTCTTTAAGTACTTTGCTTTATATTGCTATCAGGTTTGTGGGTCTGGGAGTTTTTAAAAACGGACGGACGTTAAATGACGTTTTAAATGTTTTAGAAGGTTTTTTTTTGTAATACCAAGTAACGGAACGAAGACGTCGTGCGACTGGTGGTAAGCAATACGCCTGTCCATACAGGTGCAATGCCACGCAAAGTTTTAAATCGCAAAGTCACCCTGAGACATAACAAGCCCCATATGCCTGTAATTTCCCCAGCATCCTTACCCTTCCAAACCGGAACGCAGTAATGCTCACATTACTGCTTGGCGGCAGAAATAGGTAAGGTGGCAGTAATTCCCTGGACGAAATCTTCCACAAAGAGCTCTAGTGATAGATGATAGTGATAGATAGAGGCAATTCACCGATAAGGATTCTGGTGAAAAGGACTCAAAGGTTGTAGGATAATTTGACTTCAAGACAATTTGCAGAAGTGCGATATAGAAACCTTATTACCAGAGAGTACAATGGATGGGAGTATCAATATGTATCGGATTATTATACGCAGTGGAAAATGGTATTGGTCCCTCTTTATATAGATGTTAGATGCCACCTCGGCTTTAGCCAATAACTCGCGCTTGGACCACTACGTTCCAAAAATCGAAAAGAAACGCAGGTGCGTTGGCTTCTACTGTAAAAAATATTCTGCCGTTAGGATTGCCTGTTGGAAATGCAACGTGAGTTTATGATAATAATGATAATAATAAATGATAATAAATGTTTATTTCAGTAATACAATTAACTTTACATTAGCAGTGGATGGTACTTCCTATTAACCTTATCAAGCCCTGTGTCAGAAGGCACCGCTCTTCCATAGCTATAAATGCATATTTAACATTTTTAACTTATATTTAATTACTTAATGTAGTGTTTAATTTTTACATTTCCAAACATCGACAAAAACAAAACAACATTTTTTTTAACAATTTTTAAATTTCTTAACTTCTAATTTTAAATTTAATTTGAGTCTTAAAACGTATGTGTGTGCATTTGTATATGAAAAAGTATGTGTGTGTGTGTGTGTGTGTGTGTGCGTGTGAGTGAGTGAGTGTGTGTATGTATGTATGTATGTATGTGTGAGTGAGTGAGTGAGTGTGTGTATGTATGTATGTGTGTGTGTGGGGGGGTGTGTGTGTATGTGTGTTAACCTGTTGCCATAGATTAGGAAAGTAGTGTTTTTAAAGCAAGTGTTCTAATAGATCTTCGGTTTCCTCATACGATTTCGACTGTCGCCATTTTGATATAACTTTTTTGCAGTCTCTATAACTTTTGGCGTATATTTCTAATTCCTTATTAATTAAATTGTACAAATGGGCCGATCGTTTGCTGAATTGTCTGTTTGCAAATGTTGTATTTACCTTCGGTACTTGTACCACAATGTCTTTCCTTCTCCTCTTCAAAATATTTAGATCATATTTTAGAGACCTATGTTGTCTGGGTACAGTTTGAGGATGTAGAGTTTCCTTACAGTGGCTAAATTTGATAGTTGATACAAACTGCTAGTTACAAATAGTCTTTTTTTAAATACATTATTTTAAGCAAATTGCGTTGCGCACGTTCCAACTCGAGAAAACGAGTTTTAGCAGCTCCACCCCATACAGGAATACAATAAATCAATACAGATTGAACCAAACTCACGTATATTTCCTTAAGTATATCCCTAGACGACGAGACTCGCGGACCAGCGACTGGTCCTGGCACTACATATCTTAGTGTTTTAAAAATCCAATTAAGTTTTCTTACTCTTTTAATGACATGTTCGAGGTGTGGATACCACGAGAGTCGCTGGTCCACAAGAACACCCAAATATTTTGGTTGTGCAACTTTAATGATAGAAGGGCATGTGCAGTTACTGGTGTTGCCTGTGGTTTTGCAATTATGAATCTTTAAGTCAAACTTATTTTTGGGCTGAGTATCATTATTTATACTAAAACAGATGTAGTTTGTTTTATTAGTATTTAACGTAAGAGAATTGTTAATTAACCATCTATTTACGCGCTCCAGTCCCCGTTCCGCACTAGACTTCAAAGTATCCCAAGTGAGTCTAATGTTTTGTCTACGAGTCAAATGCTTTAAAGATTATCATCAAAACACAAAGTCTTATGCTTACATTTCTTTTTTTAAACCTTCTTTTGATTGTAGTGTTTGATTTGGAATGATAAATGCCTAGAGTGTCCATATGGACACGTTATTTTTTTAATTATGAAAATGATTTTTAAAGAAAAATGTCAATAATATAATAAAAATATTCTTTGACCAAACACAAGTATATAACATTGAAAAGAAATTATTCTCGAAACGCAAAAATAATTCAGGCATTACTGGGTAAGAGAGAAACTGCATGGATCCATTCACACACTACTGTCCTGGCGTCTTTGGTACACGTTTACATGTCAAGACGGTAAAGATAGTGTTGGTTGTCTGCGAGCGCTTCTACACAATTCTATGGTTTTAGGAATTAATATGCTACGTACCTTTGCTACTTCTTCAGGAATGTCATAATGTCTAACACTAATTCTGTTAGGTTCGGAAATGGGAACTAAAAACCTCCTCACATTTGATCGTCTGAGTACCATAAGCGCATTCATTGTGGTTACTTCTCAGTCCTTCGGTATTGGTACATGAAGTGAGAATTATATATATTTATATAAATATAATCAACTACAGCAAAATTAAATTCGAGATAAAATTATTTTATCAAAAACGCCAATCGTATATCATAACCTTTGGTCAACTTGCTTTCAAAAACTTCAAGTTCGTTTTTGTCATATAGGTTTGTCATCTATTTGAAATTCGAAACATACTTATAAAAAGGAGATGCATTATAGAAAAACAATGAAAACTTTTCGACAGGGCTCGAAGTCTGCTAATTTAAATCATCTCAGTTGTGTGTCAATGGCAGAATTTTGTACATTTTATATGCTACTAAAAGTTATTATTACCATTTCCTTATTAGGGGCTACTAGGCTTGGGCTCGTGTCAATTTCGAAGACCGGTTCCCGGTAACCGATTTCGATAAAATTTGGCAAATAAATGTAATTCCCACTAAATGTAATTCACGAACTTTTGAGGTTGGGTTTTTTAGTACTTTGTACGGAGATTTTGGAAGAACCTCTTCGATGTACTGCTATTGTAGGGGTTATACCTGAGGTGAAAAAGAAAAATCATGGACAAACAATAAACCAAAGCATAACATTATTAGAGCGCATAAAATCATACAAGAGTAGTGACTTCTCAGTGGCTAGCCATCGAGCTTCTATGCCACCAATGTCATTGCAATTTTTTGGTATTCTGCTCTTCCATGGCGAGCTGGGCGGAGTCTTATTAATTCTTTACACAAAAACTTATATTTAATGTGAAGACTAAATTGCTGAACAAAACGTGATAAATCGCAGTCAGCTCCAGTGGCTTCCCATTCGTCTCCGCAGGAATTTGCATATATATTGTCTCCATTCTCTACAATATTCTACATAACCCTGTGTCTCCCGGGTATCTGAAAGAGCCTTTCAGCTTTCTCAGGTCCCAGAATAAGTCCTGTCGCTCTCTCGCTAGGTCCCAGTTATCTTTTCCATCCTTCAATTCCGATTTTTATTCTCACTCCTTCACTGTTCATGCAGTCAGATTTTGGAACGCACTCCCATTGCAGAACTCCCATTACAGTTCACGATAGTAAATCCTTAGCAATTTTCACAATGAGAGTAAAAGAGCACTATTTACAGACTTTTCCATCCATTTTATAGGTATTATATTACGAAATATATATTTATCTACGTATTTATTGTTTTTTATTACATGTTTTTTGTTTTGTTGTGCACGTAAACCCGTTATTGCAATTAGAGTGTCATTTTAGACCTCATGAAAGCTTTCGACACCATTTCTGTTCCCGTTCTTGTACACAGACTTGAATCCATAGGTATAAAAGGCACAGCTCGCTCATTTTTTGAAAGTTATCTAATGGATAGAACACGAGCTGTGAAAATTGATAAATACTGTAGTAACGAACAACACATCCTATTCGGGGTTCCGCAAGGAAGCGTACTTGGTCCGACGATGCTCCTGATTTACATAAATTAGTTGTGTGAACTGGGGATCACTAGCGAACGGATATTCATCAACGCGGACGATGCCGTTTTTTGAACTGGGAAGACTTGGGATTCAATTAAGTATAGGTACGGCTGAAGTGGGTTTAGTTAATATCGTCAGTTGGCTTAACTCTAATCTCCTGACCCTTGATATAGCAAAAATAAATTACATTTGCTTTGCTCCCTATGTAAACTCACAGCCAGATTTGGATTTTGTCATAAAGATTCACACTTGTGGTGACTCTTACGGTCGGAATTGCAACTGTCTAATAACTTATAAAAGTAAACTAATATCTGGGAATCATATTTGACCAAAGACTTTCCTGGCACTCACATCTTGAGCTGGTTATGGGTAGAGTAAGGAAGTTGGTCTGGATCTTCAAAACTCTTAGGGTCGTATTCTAGAACTCTACTCAATGCTCAAATCAGGACTTGAGTATGATTGAAAGCACTAGAAATTATTAACCATTAGAGTCGTATTTCCAGTGCTTGAAATCATACTCAAATCTGCTCAAATCCTGACTTGAGCATTGAGTAGAGTTCTGGAATACGACCCTACGACACATAAAGGTCAGAGAGTTGTTAACTAAAAATTACCTACATAGCTCTTGTACAGTAAATTATTGTATACTGTATACCAGTACGGAGCTACAAAAAGTAAATTTATCGACTTAGAGAGAGCTCAAAGATCGCTTTTGCTGTCATGTATTTGAAACCTTACTAGTTTTCTCCAAATGCCCTCTATAAAATAAATTATCTTCTGAGTGTCAGAAAACTGTACGTACTATACATGACCGTAACATGTCATAAATCGCTGCCGTTCGACCAAAAGGTACAAAATAAAAGAAGAAACGATATTGTAGCATATACACGCGATGTTTGTACATCGTTCCTGTCGCCCACTGACTAGAACGCGGCTAAGTAACAAAACAAAAAGAGTTTTAGAATATTGTAATTGTTTAACGATATTTCAGCTACGCATCGTTAGGGTAAGTTCCGATAAGTCGAACTCGTTAACTAATTTTAACCGTTTTTAAAAGAGAATTTTGTGCTCTATCTTTTGCTATTTAAAACGACCACATATTTGACCACTTGTCACAAATTTCATTGTAAGATAGCGCTAATCCAGTGGTTAAGTAGGTACCCTGAGATATATACATATTATTATGGAGAAGTGGAAAATCTTTTAGATCGCATATTTACTTTTTAAAGCATACTGTACATCATTCTACGCGTGCAGCTTATGGACCAACTATACCAAAAAGGCCTACAGTGCCCTGCGTGTCCAATATAATAACGCCTTCAGGGCGCTGTTGCGGCTGCCGCGCTTTTGTAGCGCTTCTGCGATGTTTGCGTGGGCGGGCGTAGACAGCTTTGAAGCTATCATGCGCAAAAAAAGCGCATCAATATTATACAGAGTGCGTGGCAGCAGCCACAGCGTGCTGAGGGAGATGGCTGACAGTGGGGACTGTCCACTGATCGGCCACTTGCTGAGAAGGACGAGGTCACTTTTAGAAATAAAATACTAACATACTCACTATGTTTGTACTAACAATTTATGGATCACGGTTGTCTGAAATAAATACTTTTTTTTTTTTTTTTATATTATAGCCAACACTTCTAATTTCTCATTATTTTTCTCCCTCACACACACACACACACACGCGCGCACGCTACTAATTTTGTTGTTGTTGTTGTTGTTTTCCGGTGCAATAAATGGTTAAATAAATAACATAGTAGGTAATTTCCACGGAAGAACAAAAACAATAGAAGTACCTTAAGCCTCGATTACTACCAAAACCGATGTCACCAAAACACATTCTTCATTTCAAACCCTACAAAATCTTGATATTGATTGGTCGTAGGTTCAAATTTAAACAAAAAATTGCAAATTCTTTATTGTTAATATAATTTAAACTTTACCCCGTTGGCATATCGTTGAATTATCATAATAATGGGATAAAATATCAGTGGAGTCTAATCGTAATTACAATAACCAAGAAACTTAGCGACTTGGGCCCAGGGGTAGCTATAATGAAACAACAAAATTTAAATTAGAAATTTTATTTAGACATAAATAAGAAAACAAATACGTAGAGGTTACTTATCGAGTCGACAAAGAGGGTTATCCTGTACCATTTGTAAGTCGACCTTGGGACCAACTAGGTCCCTAATATTGTTGAGCCCGTATTTGATCATGGTGGGTCGCTCTAAGGAGAGGCCCCACGCGATGACGTTCACGTCTGCCGGTAGGCCCATCGGGAGCACCAGTTCTGGCCTGAAAACTCCGGAGTTGCCAATTTCTATCCATTTGCCGAGACCTATAAAATAAGAAATATACTTTTTCACCTAGTGAGCTCGGAAAGGCTTTCTTTCTCATTAGAAATCTATCTAGCGTGGAAAACTTAACTGACTGTGGTGCACCTAACTTTTTCTTTCGATGAAAAAATAATTAGTTCAATTAGTCGATTTGTCGTTCATTATTTATTTATGTAACATAAATCCGTTGGTATATTTTATTCTTATTATTGTTGACATTAAATTGACAGTGATTTATTTATTTATTTATTTTTATTTATTTATTTATTTATTTAGTTTATTTAGTGATAACTAATTGTGTTTATTAAATTATTTTAAGTCGTCAAAGAACTAAAATAATCACACAAAATGAAAATACGAGCAAGAATAAAAATTGAGGAGGTGTAAATTCAGAACGCATCCGAAAATAAACTTTTTCTTTTCATTAAAAAAGGTTTTTATATCAATTGTTTTCCTTTCAGGTACCATTTCCCTCGCTACAGTGAGGTGAAAAGTTGTGTGCTTCGCTCGGCAGCAAAGTTGTTTAGCGTCTCGTGTCTAGAAACCCTAGCTACGCTCAGGAATCTATATTAAACCACTCGCTTCGCTCGTAGTTCAATCTTAGCAGCCTTGCATAACAAATAACTATTGTAGATTTTTGTATTATTATATTGAGTGTTAAATTTTTTAATTGTTATCTCAGGGTGACGGGGGCAGTCACGGTCCCCCTCAGATCTTTGCGATTTAAAGCTTTGAGTGGCTGCGATTGTTAAGGATAGGCGTGTCGCATACCACCAGGCGCACGACTCGTTCTTACCGTCACTTACATTTAGAGTAATTTTCGAGATTCAATACTTCTATTTTTTTATTTTGGTCCCAGTGTCGCCATCTACAGTTTTAAATATATACTGAAGGTAATTTGTACAAATTAATGCCCCATGTCTATACCGTGGTACTATAAGTAAAGGTGTACCAGAATCTGATGGCACTTAGACAATTTTAAATTTATAGTTGGCAACATCAGTATAATAGGAAAAAATGTACTAGATACTTCATATATCTTAATTGTCCAGAATTGATCTCACCTGGTGCATGTTTTAAGATCTGTATGAATTTATGTGTGAGAAAGGTAAGCAATTTCTGACACATTTAAAATTAAACAAGAATATATCAATTACATTGTGGGTGATACATTTATTTACGTTTGCAGTTTGAAGTAACTCGCATTTATGCGATTTACTTTTTTTTTACCACTCTGTAGTCTACACACTGTAGTCTTGCCGATTAGTACCTGCATAAGTACATTGGTACCACATACATTGATTTGGCATCATTAATATTTCAAAGATCAAGTTTATTTACTCCTACTAATCGGCAAGATTTGAGACCCGCTTCTAAATCGTGAAATGTGACGTAAATGCACCTATTTCATCGCTGATTTTGCGATATAAACATTATGGCAATGTTTTTTGCTTGAGATTGGAGGGGATTCTCAGTAATTTTGCTACAAAATCATTATTTTAAAGTGAAAAAAGTTTAGCATACAGCTATTTGACACAAGTAATATTTTGAATTGACATGTGAGAAGTTAACATTGCCAGGTGAAAGTTGTTCGATTTTTCTAATATTTAGTGCCATGAGATTCTAGTACACCTGTACACATGACCAGGCAAATCTCCGACAATAGGTAAGACTGGTCATGATCAGGATTTACATAAAATTAGTTGTAGTGACGGTGTAGTAGTGAACTTGTCATACATACCGTTGTGGAAGGCGAAAATTTCCATACTAGGTTCAGTGTAAGGATTGTACGCCGGCTTGAACTGAAGCCGGTCGAAGCCAAGGCGCTTGAAGAAAGTATCAAATACTGTGATGAGGTCAGCCAATCCTAGGCCGCGGTCGGCGATCACTCCTTCGACTTGGTGAAATTCTGCCAGATGTGTTGCGTCAAGCGTTTCATTGCGGAATACCTGAGGTGACAGAAAAGATAATCGTACTTGTATCCTTGTACACTATCGACTATAAAGATCTATCATAATTATTATACAATATATTATGTATACAATTTTTTTATATAAAAAATAAGTGCGCATCTGATCTGCATCTCAGCTGATGGAAAGCGACGAGGAGGTCGACGATGGAGCAAGAAGCATACTACGAGTGATGCATGGGCCTTTTCAAGGCGATAGTGAATAGTCACTATCGCCTGTTCAGTGTACTTATTAGATACGATGTCACGACAGGAGCATAAGGACGGTAACCTTTCACAAACTTTTGAATTTTGAATTTATTTTTTCCGAAATAACGTTTGTTCGAACTTTCACTACCCCGAAAACAGAATTATAACGAAACCGTTGTTCTTTCAGGATATTTTGGGTGTGTATCGCAAAGACACGATTAAGTTAGGTTAGGTTTAAAAGAAAAAAACATTTTCCTCTCAAAATTACTTTCGAGGTTATGAAAATTCGAGCAAGTGTCTTTCTGGAAAATGTCACTTCGGACTTCAGATAGGTAACTCATAAAGACATATAAGTCCTCGTGCTCCTACTGGTAGGAGCACCCAGTAGGAGCATGAGGAAACAGCCCCATGTTATAGAGTACACGTAAGTTTAAAGTTAAAATAGTAAATTATGTTACGTCATTCATGTTTTAAGCCTTAACCAATAAAAATCGTTAATTTATGGTAGTAGATAATAGAGCGTAAAATTTGATTTGCACTCTGGCTAAAAAGTGGCGACGTCATCGGTACGCAATTTTACATAGCGTCATTACGCTATGTAAGATTATGCCATTGCATATCGCCCCTTTTATTCCATATCTATGGGTGGAATACGACCTGAACCTTTGCTTGGATGGGACCCGCGGTAGACCTATAGCGAGTCAACTGCCTCCCGTTGTTGTTTACCGAAGTAGATACCTTGTCAATGCTGAAGTACTTCTGCGGCGTGAACTCCTTCTGCTGAGCGAGCTTGTAGAGCATCCGCGCGCTCACCGCCGTGGTGTGCGTGCGCAGCAGGTTCTTCTGCGCCTCTTCGATCTTCCACGCATACCTGTAACCCTGGGGCCAGACATCATCAGCGCAGGTCGTAAGGCTCAATGGTAATTCTATGTTAAGTACGGTGCAGAGCGTTAAATGGTATCAACAGTGTCAACATTTCCTGAACTTGAAACCTACTACTATACAATGTGTTGATTTGCATTCTCGGCATATTTACACCATATTTATCCGAAACTGAACCCAAATCACTAAATAAATATATCGAAAAAAAATGTCCTAAATTCTTATTTTTTATTTAATTGCGGGGACAACGATTCGCAATCAACTGATCCTGCTTGATACAAAGGTCATTGACTTGCACGGTACGTGCTACCAAAATTTATAGCGGAGTCGGAGGAATCAAGAAAGTATTGCCATCTCTTTTTTTTTTCAAACGCAGCGCACTAGTTAAAGGTGGGATGGAACTCGCCGCAATTCTAGTGATCTACTAGTCTCTCACGAAATGCCACGTGGTTTGGTATGTAAACAAGAGTCAGTGCAAAAAAAGAACCGCTACCAGGTTCATGGTGAGTGCTCTGAAGAGCTGTTCAACCTCATCCCCCCTTCCCCGTTCCTGCTCAGAAGCACGCGTGCTGGCCTTCGTAGTCACCGTTTCACTACCTGCCGCATTCCATCGCGTACTAAAAGGTTCGGTGGCTCCTTTCTCTGCCGCACGGTTGACAAATGGACCTTCCGGCACATGTCTTCCCTCCCTCTTATGATATGGGGTCCTTCAAACGAGGCGTGAAGAGGCATATTGTAGGCAGGCAGGGTGGAGGTGGCTAGTGCAGTGAGGGTTTCATCGCTGCACTAGGTTCCTTCGCGTTTGGATACCACTTTCCACTTAACATCAGGTGGAGTGGAGTCATTTGCCTGTCATGTATAAAAAAAAACCAGAACCTGCATTACAATCACGTGCAAGTGCGTGACTATTCTTATGGCATGATGTGAAATGTTTAGTTTACGCGGAGGAGATTGAGAGTCGTATTCCAGAACTCTACTCAATGCTCAAGTCAGGATCTGAGTATGATTTCAAGCACTGGAAATACGACCCTAATGGCAGGGACTTGAGTATGATTTCGAGTGTTTTAAACCATACTCAAATCCTGACTTGGAAGTCAGGATTTCAGCAGACTTGAGTATGATTTCAAGCACTGGAAATACGACCCTAATGGCAAGGACTTGAGTATGATTTCTAGTGCTTTGAATCATACTCAAGTCCTGACTTGAGCATTGAGTAGAGTTCTAGAATACGACCCTTAGAGTGTCGAAGAATTGCGCGCAAATTCTTCTCTGCTTTCAAAATTGTGAAGCCAAATGTGGAAAGTTGAAACGAAAGTCAAGTGGAAGATCTCCATAGCCAGCCACCAGCTGTGAAGCAATATTTACCAGTAATGTTTACCAGTAGCTTAATAAGTACCAAATCTAAGTTGCAAAAAAATATTTTTAGTAATCTTTTCTAATTAATGTAAATAATTAGTAAAATACAACAATACTAGTACATAATGTTATTAAAAAAAATGTTAAATAAGCGATCGAGAAAGATTACGTATCCCTCGATGAAGCGAGTGGCGGGGTCACTGCCCTCGCGCGGTGCATACGATTTAACGAAAACTTAGCAAGACTTAACTAGACACGATTAGCCAGAATATTGACAGAATTTAATTTTTAATACTTTTAGATGATTTAGGATTATTTATATTATTTATTTCTTAAATATGTCGAGAATTCAAATCAACACACTGTATATTATCTCAACTCTTCCAAGGTTAAGGCGAGGTATTTCAACGTAAGCCTAGATTTTAGAAGGTGGAGGTAATTTTTTGCGCGTCCCGCAATCCACGCGCAAAAAATTATAATATGATTAAATAACGCTGACAAGCGCCCGAAGGCTGTTAGCGGGCCAGTGAGTGGCGCGGCGTGTCGTGTCGTTAAGCCACTAGGTAATTTTCAAGTTTTGAGATAAATGTGAATTTCATAACTAAACATGGCTTCGTTAATAACCAGAATTTACCAGGTTTTCTGTAGTACTTAAAGAAAAATATTTTCATACAAAACTGAAGTGCAAAGTTAGATATTTTATTCTTAAAAATCCTTATTTTAACTTGTTTTATTGTTGTTTGGGATTTTATATGATTTACTCTATCTTTGCGAAAAATTTGCTAGTTTCTCCCGTTTCTCCTCTGATGGCTCGGCTTAATTTTCGATTATTTTTAGGCAAGTTTCAGTTCCAAGTATTTGACATTGACCGTATTTCAAACGCTACGCAATTTTCATCTATTTATTGAAAATACGATAAAGGCAGACACAGCTTCCTGAATTCATACCTGTGACCCATAGCCGCCTTCACTGTGAACCTTCTTAACCCGTTCCAAATACTCCATAGGGAAGGTCGTAGTCTTCGCCGGGTCACTAATGAAGAATGTATCATGGGCGTCTCGAGCTGGATGTTGTTGGGGTTGGAATAGAGCGTCGAAATTCCAGAAGGAACTCTCTACATAGGCATTTGTAGGCATCTCTGCGAAACCCATTTCAAGGAAGATCTCTCTGAATTCGGATCGTACTTTAAGTAGAGGATGGAGGTGTCCGGATTCTGGAGGTTGCCCTGGAATGTTAGACAGACAGAGATTTTATAAAGAATGTTTCACTTATAGTAAGGTTCGGTTAACAAAACTTGGGCAGATTATTTATTTATAAAAACATGATGTAAACTTACAGTAACAACCGCAACGCTTACATGCTAATTTCTTACACAACATAAGCTAAGTTTGCATTATAAATTACTTTGCAAATGCTGTCGCAAAAGATGTCAGCATCCTTTTTTTTATAATATCAAGTGACGGGTCGAACAAGTCGTGCGTGCGCCTGATAGTAAGTCTGTCCATAACAGTTGCAGTTAAAAAATATAAATTCGATTTTAATTGATACCTAATTAAAACAGAAGATATCGGTAGTGAACTATGGGTCTTGAAACACGATGGCTAAACTTCGCATTTATTTAAAAGAAGTCAATGCCAACTTAACACTGAATATTCATCTTACACTTACCTAATGCATCAAAATTGTAAGGTTTGAACTGCATACTCTTCCACGCACCACTTAACAGCATTTCACTAGTCAAATCCGTTTCTAACTTTTTAATAGTTGTAGAAAATTGTGGTCCTTTTGACAATAAGAAACTTGTGACTGTAATGGCCTGTAGCAGTTTTCGTTTCTTGTAATCATTTCTTACATTTTCTGGTAAATTATCTATACCCTTTTTAATTTCATTTAAGTGCTCTTGGACTGTGTCTGTAATACTGTCAACTTTGCGTTTTACTTGTGGTGCTCCCCCAGATTTGTCTAATTGGATCCAGCCAGCTGACATTGCTTTGCTGAAGCCAATTTTTGCATTAGGTACAGTCTGTGGACAAAAGTAATTACTTGAGAAAGAAGAAACAGAATTATAAACTCTGAAAAAAAAAACTTGTTTGATGATTAATATAAAAGATAATTTAAATTAATAAATAATGTACACACTCATAGCCACTCACAAGGGAAATCCTATGTCGCGGGTCTCATAGAACATACACATAGACAACCACAAATTACACCCAAACTCACAAGAGAAATAAATGTAGGCCATACAAATATTTGTACCGGTCTGGGAATCCAACACGGGAGCATGGCAAACCAACATTATAACCTAGTTAGTAGTAGTTAAATAAGGGGTGATATTAGGTTTGAGTATCAATCTATAATAGTATAAGTGTAGTTGGACTATAGGAATGTAAACTAAATAGCAACATTGAGACTGAAACTCAATTTGTTAAAGGGCCTGAAATGTTGGATTGTTTGAAAAAACTAATATATGTGATTTGGAGAGATAATAGTTTCATTTCCAATGTGTAACAATTGAAAAAACCTAAGAACCTAATTTTCATGAATAAAGAAATAAATATTAGAGACAACATTACATATGTTGTTCTGATCACAAAGTAAGAAAGTAAAGCACTTGTGTTATGGATAACAGAAATAATGACAATACCATAAACATCCAGACCCAAGACAACATAGAAAAGTAAAGTTTTTCTACATTTACCTAGCTGGGGATTGAACCTGGGACCTCAAAGTTGGCGACAGTATAGTATACTGTAAAATTATTATAGTATAAACTTGGCTACTCATGAGCGACGTATGGGCGAAGGCCGAGCGTTACGAAACGCGGGAACACTAAAATCCGTACCCAACTTGCAACTAGAAATCCGCGGGTAATATATCCCCGATTCTACGAACATCTACCCACAGACCTGAAAAGTGTTAGAGACCATGAAACGTTTTGTACCCGGCTAAAAAACCTTTTATTGGATATTGAATTGTACAGTGTCGATGAGTTTCTTTTGAAACAATTTTAATTTTATTTTATTCAACAAGCAGTAGTTATACTACTTTATTTTATATTCATTATTATTATTATAATTTTATTACTGACGATCATAGTTATCCCTTGACATTGTATTTCCAATTGCAATATTGTGACATTGATAACATGGAATAAACGATTCTATTCTATTCCATTCATTTATAAAATTTTTATTAAATAAAATATAAGTGCAATATCATCTACATTTCCCCATGCCGTCTATTCAATTTACAATATCCCTCAACTTTCTATATTATCAATAGCTCAGGTGTCTACAGCATTACTATTATCAATTTTTAAAGTGTTTTTATTATGCTATCATAAAATGTTATCACCAAACTAGAGGTTATCTTCTACCTATCTATCTACCTTGATAATTTCGGCCTGAGGCATCCCAACGTCAGGAATACTACGGTAGAGAATAGCCTCGTGGCTGCCCTGGTCAGCCACCAACTGTCCTTCCTCTGTCAACCCCCATTTCGTACTTTTTACAGCTTCCAAAGTGACCATTTCAAGTGCTTCCAAACTTTTCACAGCGCCGACAATTTTTTGATGGTCCTCCTCAAATTCCCTTGCCAACACAAGAGTGTCCACTTTACCACTTTTCTCTAGATAGTGTAAAATCTTCTCGTTTAATTCCATTTTAAAAAGATTTTAAATTTTTTGTACAAATAGGTTAGCAATCGAAACTCACACTACAATCACATTCACATTATGATAATACGTGCCCATTTGGCATGAATATTTTGTTCCATAGCCGATCTTACAGGTAAAAAACAAGAATACGATATGAGGAAACTCTCACATAGTGTTTCCTTGTTTTACGCATTGAAATATTCTCAGAATGAACGTTAAAAGCGCAGCTGTCAAACTTTCAATAGAGCTGCACAATTATAGTCGATTACAACTATCGAATTATTTTAAAAGTATGCGGTTGAAACACGAACAACATTAAATGATTAAACCCGTGACCTCCATGGTCAACGTGTGTGCAACCGTTCCGAAATATCGGGAAAATAAAAAGAAGTTATAGCGTGGTAAGAAACCTGATACTAGTGATAATCATTTAGTGAATAACCACGAAAGTCTTAAAATCTATATACGAACAACATTCATTTTTATTTTTCACAGAATTTGTGTTTTAATATTAATATTACTTTAGGTTTTCATGTAGTACAAGTTTTCATAATATTTACTTTACATAATATTTATTTATTATATATTTAGTTTGATAGTGTGATTATGTTTCTTTATTATTATTTCTGTGCATTAAAAATTATCCTATCTGGAATTCTGGTTACACATCTTCCTTTATACAGAAGTGAAAATAAATTTTAAATGGACTATATACGTTTAAAAAAGAGGAAATTAAATGCTTTAATGAAATATCGACGTCGACAATAGACATTAAAATCGCATCAAAATATTCATCTCTATTCAAGGTCTTTGTGTGTCCAGTATTAAAATATCATGCAGTTTTGTGAATTTTTTAAAGTACGTCTTTGTATTATTCGTGCATACCTTAAGATGAAAAATCATTCTTTAAATAAAAGATTTTAAATTGATCATTTATCGCTTAACGGACCAATTTCTTAAAAGCTTCTTTATTCTAGTTTTAATATTAACGGTTTTTGTTTTGAGCGGAATATTCATTTGAGAGTTATATTTTCCGAAGTTTTATGTTTGTGTTTCTTATTAAAATAGAAGTTACTGAATATCTTTGACAATTTTAAAATCGTTCTATTACTTTTCCTTCAATCTTCAAAGTTAAAGTAACTGGACAATTAATTGCCACTTACAATAATCAATGATACTTACACTCGGTAATAACTCTGTAAATACGGCACAGAGCGCAATTGGACTTTCATGCCTGGAATCTCGATTTCGAAAATTTTGAGTCTCGATGATTTTTTGGCATCTTTGAGACTCGACTCTCGGTTCTCAGTCTCGGAAACTTCGAGATATTTGGCACTTGGTCACGTAACTAATACAGTTAAACAATCTACTAAATCAACATTCATTTTTAGGTCTGGTTAGCTACATGTTATAATATGATAATGCCGTAGAGTTGAACTTAAATATAATATGTGGAGACAGGAGGATGATTGCAACAAAATCAGAAATTTAATTACAGTGAAATTACATGACAAACACCCTTTATTTAGTTCGTTCCCGCTATAAAAATAAAAAAACTTTCATAAATAGTTTTTGATTTAATTATTTGAGTAACAAACGACTTAATCATAATCTAATTTTGACTGTCTAACTCACAAATCACTTAAACGCTTAGCGTATATTATGTATACGAACCGACTGTTGAAATAGTCTCCAAAGGCTCTTTTCCTGGGATTTTAGAGATCATATCAAGTCTCAATTTTTTTCCTGGGACATAAAAATGCAGCGAGTCTGAAAACCCTAGTGTGCACCTACTACTCCTACCTAGCGTGCTTTTGTTCTTGAAGTCAGGATCATTTGAAGGATGTCTCTAGATTTTTTTTACCATAACATAAAAAACTATAAATACTCAAAAAGAACCAGATAGGTAGTTACTGTATGCGCATTTTATAATTGCACAAAAAAAAGTACTTACAATACATCATGGTGTACTTACAATGCATCATACAACTTCACATGAGTATTTATTTGTATTTGTTGTTGGCATACAATCACTGTGTTGACAGTAAATGTGACAAAGTATTTGCCCTGTTTGCCTATTCGACAAATGCAGCAAACCCCAAACTCGAATGACCTTTATTGGTTTCTGGACGACAGGTCCAAGCGTATAGGCGAATTGTCAAGTAAACCGTCCATAAGGTCATATTAATTATTTGCACTTCTTATTTGACTCCAAGAGGAAAGCATATTTTGTCATGGCGGCACTTTATATGGCTACCTACGTGTATTCGTCATATTATGTTTGTCGTACGTCAAGTATTTATCCAAGTTCAACAAACACCCAATGGCGAATTTGAACAACCATGTGAAGTCCGCCTTCAAAAAATTCACATTACTCGTTGGAAGAACTTTCGACGTGTAAATTGTAATACTTGCTTCCAAATGATCAAATTGCAGAAGTCGAAAACTGTATGCTGGTAACCCATTACCCGACTTTATTTGATAAGAATTTTGTGTTTTGTTTGTGTATGCTGCGAGAAAACTTGTTTCAGTTCATTATAGTTGGTATCGGAGCTGAGAAGTTCCAAGGTAATGTAATAAATGTTTACTTTTATCACCTTTTTAAATTGTGTATCGTTTTATTCGCTTTTTGGACTTTTAGTTATTTTTTGTGTTCAAAGTGACAAAGGTTAATGCCGGCCGGATAATAATCTCATTATTAAAATTAATCGATATTTTTCACTTTGAATATTTGTTTTTTCAACTGCATTCAGTAAGCCCCTATAGCTCCATTTTATCGGTAACAGTGATTAAAATAATCTAGAATATTTACCTACCTATTGTAATGATACCAACTAATCCTATGGATAGGTCGAAGTTCACGATGTTGTAATAATTGATATAAAGTTCATGAAATAATATTTATGAAGTTTTTTCTTGTTTCTCTGGCCTTTTCGCGGTAGTTAATTGCATACCTGCGTTTTTATCTTCATTAAAATAAAATAATGGCATTGTTGACTTAAGTCTGTGCTTAGTTTTATATCCTGAATATCATTGAAAGAAATTGTTTTAACTATTTTATTTTTTATGCAAAATAAGTATGTTCCGTATCAAATTCTCCGATTTTCACAATTGTTACATAAAGGGAATTAATAAAAATGGAAGCAAATGAATATTTACTACTCCACAAACTCAGTGAATGTTAAATCTTGCAAAATTGCTGCGTGTCTTAATGTACACATCCTAAATATGTAATGTGTAAAATTCACAAATGTGTGCATGTAAATATTTGAATATAGTCATTACATTGTTGTTACTTCTCTTTTGGAAGCAAGAGGCGGCAACTTGGAAATTTTGCACTTTATATAATAATGGTTTAGATGATAAATAATCTATATTTGTTAGTATGTAATTATAATTCTTAATAACCTAGTGTTAGTAATACTTAATATGAATGTTGGCAGTGGAAGTAGGAAGAGAGAGAGAGAAGTCACCACACTTACTGATGTGGTATATGAACAAATTATGTATCACCATACTTCTCAGATTAGGCCGATTGGCTTTACAAGTGGCAACTTGTAAAGCCAATCAAAGCATCGATGACGTCACCCCTGATCAGTCGTCATGGGTACAGATGGGAAAACTGGTTGTTTTTTTAAACGGTTGAACATTGTAGTTTTTTATAAAAGTGTGCTTTTTTAGGCACTTTTCACGTAGACTTTTTGTGTTAAAAAAAGCAATGTTGTGTTGATAACCACCAAAGGTTAAGTTAGACTACTGAAGGTTTTCAGTAAAGTAAGTTTATTTGTAAAACACAAGTTTTAGTTTTATTTGTAAAATTATTATTCACATTAACAAATTAATTTGTTTATGAAACTGATTGTTGATCTGCGAGATGTCTCAAAGGAAACCTATCAGACCTCAGCCGTCTGCCGTCAGCACGCTATAATGATCTTCCTTGAGTAAGGAAGAGAGAAAACTACGAACTGAAATAAACAAAGCAAACTCTACTCCACAGACTTTATCCTCAGTCATGTAGTATATGAAAGTAATGTTTGACGATTTAACTAACTGTGTTTTATCTTTGAACACAACGATAATTGCGCCGTGAATCGAATTTTTTATTGGAGATTTCCACATTTCCCCAATGACTAGGACTTACAGTAGCACATTTTGTTGCAGATGGCCCGTTTTGATATGGTAATTTTCGGGGCCACGGGCTTCACAGGCCGCAGAGCTGTGCAAGAGGTGGCCCGACTGTCCAAGAAGTATGGGCCGTTTACATGGGCCGTTGCTGGACGGTCCGAGACGAAGCTGCAGGATGTACTTGCTGAGGCTTCTAAAAAGACTGGTAAACTTTTCATATTATGTATTTCTTCACCTTCCTGATTTCTTCGCATGTTGATATCTCCTATTTTGGTAATTGTAGTAATTGGCCAAAAAGTCCATGCGGTATCAAAGTATAAATGAAAAACATTTAATCAGAGATATATCAGACTTTTATCAGTTTATGTATGTAATTTTTATTTTTAAAATACAGCTCTAAGAGTCGTATTCCAGAACTGTACTCAATGCTCAAGTCAGGATTTGAGCAGACTTGAGTATGATTTCAAGCACTGGAAATACGACCCTAATGGCAGGGACTTGAGTATGATTTCGAGTGCTTTGAAACCATGCTCAATTTCTAGAATGCGACCCTTAGGGTCGAACTAGAACTCTACTCATGCTCACAGGATTTGAGTATGGTTTAAAGCACTCGAAATCATACTCAAGTCCCTGCCAATAGGTTCGTATTTCCAGTGCTTGAAATCATACTCAGAGCCGGACCTGAGCATTGAGTAGAGTTCTGGAATACGACTCTGAGGGTCGCTTGATGGCCTCTTTGTTGTCAAGGTCGTGTAAAAAAAAATTATACTGTGCTTGGGTCAGTGTCAGTTTTGATGTACCTAAGTTGTCAGCTAATAACAAGTGAAAATGTCGAGCGAATATGGTGGATGATGTAACACATTCCAACGAAACCGCAATAGTTTTTGGCGGCTTTGACATCATCGTGATGAAATACGACACCTTTACGATTTACCATTTCTGGGCGTTTTTCATTAAATATAAACTTATTTCCCGCCTAATTATAAAATGCGCGCTATAATATTAGTTTTAAAATGACCACAGACATAACAATTTGAAAAAAAAGTTATTTATTGTTTAAACTATTACTTCCTATAGCATATACTTTTAAAATCAAACGATACATTTTATTAGAAAACATAAATACATGTATATTTTTGGAAAACAAAGCCCCGTTCGCCCGTTATTACACTTCCATAACTATTTTTTAAACCGCACCATTATCTTTCAGCGTTGCCATTTTGTTTTTAACTGATTATATCTAAATCAAAACGTTAACTTATTTTGTACAAATCTGATGGTTGTTGCAAGTAGTAATAAGCATTTTATAGTTAATAGTTCACTATATAGCTTTTGTGAACAACACCTGGCTAGTGGCAAAAATCGCACAGACTCTTTGACCAACCCATTATTGTAGCTCGATCAATCTCGTTGCCAAAAAGACTCCCCAATAAAAAGTTTTTCTTTATGGCGGTACTTCTATGGTTATTTGAATTCGCTAAAGGGTGTTTGATGTACTTGGAAAAATATTTGACATAGGTACAGACAAACTTGCAAACACTGACACATGTGACCGCCTACACAAGGAGCCAATTAAGAAGTTAATAATCAATATAACCATAGTGCGGAGCAGTTTACTTGCCTATTTAGCTCCTTGGAAAGTTTGGTGTGCTTCGAGAAATTAAAGCGCACAATGACGCGAATTTGGTGTTTGCTGTATCTGTCGAATATGCAAATACTTTGTCACACATTCCATATACATATGGTCATATTCATTATTTTTACTCCTTATTTAGTTCCATGTGTCGGACGGTCTTATTTGCCAGTGTGTGCATGTTTGCAACGAATACAAGTAGCCATGTAAAGTGCTACCATTATAATATGCCTTTGCTGAGTTGTATGGCCTTATTTGAGACCATAAACAGTTCACAATAATAAAGATCTACTTATCCAATAGACGAAAACCTATCGTCAATAAAGAAGATCATAGCAGACGTAGGCGACATGGCGTCTTTGAAAGAGATGTGCGGACAGGCGAAGGTGCTGGTGAACTGCTGCGGCCCCTACCGGCTGTACGGCGAGCCGGTGGTACGAGCTACCATCGACATGAAGACGCATTACGTTGATGTCAGCGGGGAGCCACAGGTAAATAGAATTGAAATTTATCTTTATTTCTTTTTTATAAACAAATGTGTAATCATATTTGAATCAAACGTTTTGAGCTCTAGGAAGAACAGATAGTCTTATAAGAAATTTCAAGTACTTGCTTTTGTTTATCAGATTTCCATCTTTTAACAATTATTACGCTAAATACAATAGTTAGGATGTATTTGCCGAAGATGTGCAAATTGTGCTAACGTTTCTCTGCCCCCAAAAGATTAACAGTCATCGTATTTCTTATAAAGGTAATGTTGGTGTTCTGAGAATTTCACAACTGACAAATTTGTTTTCACCTTTTGAATTTGGAGTATCGCAGCGACATCTCTTTAAAATCGGTTAAACTAATTTGTTTGTCTGTTTTATCGACTGAGAGACTATACATAATATAGTGCAGACTTATTAATTTATTTTAAAGTTAATTTTATTTAGATTATGAGTTAAGGCTTTCAAGTCGCTCTTCCCCCGTGTTCCATTAGACCCTAAATAATAATAATAATAATAACTCAAAACAAAATAGTTGTAATATTTTTAATTTTTGGTCTTTAATTTTGAATAATTCAGTCTTTGTGTACCATTTTTTTGATATTTAGGTGAATACATTCTGCAGGTGAGTGGTAAAAAATCTTAGGTGCTAATTTATAATTTTTACTACATAGCGTTGTAAACAGAATTAGGCTCTTGATTAAACATTTAAAATCAATTTTAAGGTCTAATAAAATATGGTAAATAAAAAAAAAGAAACGACGATAGGTAACCACATTCAATTGACGCATTCCATTGTTCTTCAAACGTCACTAGCGAGCTGAATAATGGTGATAATTAATAAGCATACTTACGGAGTTTATTATCATCGAAAGAACGATGGCAAAATAATTCTTAAAATACTTCTTTAGCGTCTTTAAATGTCATTATTACAAGATTGTTTTACATAAATTTATTACATTTTTCAAGTAATACTAAAGGCCTGTCTAATTCTGGAAATAAAAATATATTAAAAGAACTCAAATCACTATAGTCTGTCTTTTTTGAAGACGGAGTAAAATGGTTGTCAGTTTTCATAAAATTTTAAATAGTCGATGGATTGTGAAAGAAGTTATAATTTTGCCAAAAATGACTGAATTGTAAATGTTACGACGTCCTAATGATCACTAATGGCGTTATTGCCTTCTTTATTCTTATTTTGACAAATGGCTTACTAGTATCGAGATCATTCATTCATATACATTTTGACAAGGATAGCCGGATTTGGTTATCTATATTGAATTAAAATGAAAAACTTTAAAATATGTCTCCTCTTCGTATTTTTTATAAACATAATTCTAAATACATTGTATGTATGTATGAACTTACAAAAATTAACAATTCAAATGAAATACTAACAATGACGAAAACTAATGACGAAACAGAAGGCGCTACGGCTAAACAGTCGTTGAAAAATCAAATACAAAGACACGACAACAAACACATATAGAAAAATTCTTGAGGTCCGCTGGTTCGTTCCGTGGCTTAGTTGGTATGGCGTCTGCCACGGTATGCTAGAAGACGTCGGTTCGAATCCGGCCGGATCGATTCGGAGTGTTCGATCTTTGTATTAATAATTAATTCAAATTCAATTCAATCAACTATTTTATTACAAATAATCTTAGTACAGACTATTAAAAAAACCGACTCCAAAAGGTCGTGGAATTACGTCTGTTTGTCGAGTTTTATTGAAATCGGTTACCGGAAAGTGTACAAAACTTGATTCATCCCCTGTTTGCCACCCTTAGAGGTGAAATATGTCCTTTAAATTTAAATGGGACCAACAATGAGGTACCCTCTTTCCAACAAAAAAATATTCGTCAAAATCGGTCCACAAATAAGTTTTGTCGCGTAATATACATACAAAAAAAATACCGTCGAAAAGAGAACCTCCTCTTTTTTTGAAGTCGGTTAAAAGTAAAGTAGATAGATAATTTCTTTCACGAAATATGCCAGGTGAGAAAGTGGTAAAACTGACAACAAAGTTCCCCATATCAGGGATAGATGGCACGTTTCACAAAAAAAAAAAAAATTTATGTCCGAGTTACCAGTATGAATTAACTCAGTTTTCTTTTACGGCTTAACTTCAAGCTTCTGGACCATACCGTTGTATAAAATAATTTTCTATGAACTTTCGTCACGTCACAAATCCAGGGCACCTGTCAGCTTCTATTAACTCTGTTCAAGACTACTGTAGTTTATTTTGATATAATATTACACCGAATATATTTTATTAAAATGTAAAACATCACCTCCAAAACTTCAAACTGATCTTTATTTCTTGACTTCTCAGAATAGTAAACCCAAAACAAAATTTGTTCAGGAATTTTAACACTATATTTTCACACATTTTTCCTAAAAAGACTCATACATTATTATGTCAACAAAAAGGTAAGCACAAGTATATAAATGCTTAAATAGCAGATTTTAATAAAACTCAAAAGAACATAACTAACAGCATGGACGTAGGACGTAGAGATCCAATAGGTCTCTGCTTACCCCATAGGGTGACAAACGTAATAGTGTGGATAACTTAACGTCACAAGTACCTGGAAGAAAGTTTACATACTTGGAAAACCTGTCAGTCCCTAAATGAGTCACACGAATTAACGCCAAATCTTAAACAATAAACCGAATTCTGTTAGATTACGTTTGAGGGGATAAGATAACTGACACGGATATATTTTAATGCAAACTCAGTTTTGCGCTATAATTACAAAACTTATTAATTTAAGTGTTGGTTTGTATAATATTATCTTAATTCCATTAACTGGGTTTGTGTTTTTATTAACTGCTTGAAGGCCATTGCGAAATTGCACCGTCGATTAGCTCGGCCACAGTTCTGTATACCCAGTGTCGTCAATGCTTATGTATTACGTATTGCATATCTATCAGCATGGAGCTGTTTGCATGCAATATAATCTGTTTTTAACCTCTAATCTTTGGACCGTTCTTATCTAAGCGATTTAGAGCCTTGAACACCGCTGTAAAGTTGCCTGCTTATCGGTATTCTACAGGATATATTACGGAGTGTGTGCAAGGGAATTGCGCAATATAATTCCGCCTTCCACTTTACATTGTCGGGGGACCAGACGTGGACTGGGGACAACATAGGGGTGGAACACCCCTATTCCATGTTGTGGATATTCCAAGCACGAAGCGTTTTCTTCCACATTTATATAGCTAATGGTTATGGAGTGGAATTTCCCGCCTGCAGACTTGTTCCCTGAACAGTATAACTTAAGCCTTTTCAAGGCGAGACTGAATAGGTATTTTATTTAGATGTGCATGTTCCATCATTACTTTCCATCAGAGATTGAGGTCAGATGCACACTATTTTTTTTTAATAAAAAAAGAGTTAAATTTTAAGTATCAAGATTGACGTATATTTGACCCTGTTCCTTCCTTATTTAGGGCAAAGGCTGGTGCCATGAAGACCTTTATTGGTCCCGAACTCTTTGCAGCAGGGGTTCCCAAATTTATTTGTCTACTGCCCACTTTGAGAATAAATTATTTTTTAGCGACTCTATTTATTCACCTACTTAAAAACCACTATTACATCAAATTAAATTAATTATTGTGAGCTATATTAGCGGAGATTAAACATTCATTCTAAACGAGACTTTTACTATAATCCGCAGGAGTTAACTTGAGACCTGAGCGCAGTAGGTAGTACACAACGGCGCTCAGGTCTCAAGTTAACTCTTACGGGCTACACCTGCCAATGAGAATGATTATTGAAACGCAACTTTATAGTATTCAGACAGAGAATCTTTAACTCAAAATAAAACAAACATAATCGATTCTAATATAAAAAGTAATGTGAAGGATGAATCTGATGCTGTTTGATATCAGGTTTCAATTTACTCAAGAACAGCCGCAAGTCACCACGTTCGGTAATATGCAAACGATCTCTCTTTTTAGTAAGCAGCGTTGTCACAGCACTAAAACCACGTTCACACAAATATGACGATGGGAATGCCATCAAGAATCGTTGAACGATTGACCACAATCCAGGGTACAATTGCGGGATCGGTTTTTGTAGTCAAATATCTTGGTAGCCATTTTTGAACTTGATTTTTACTTCCTCGTTCGTTGTCAATTCTATAAGTTCTTCTTCCAGCTGAGGTTGATATTGCTGTGTTGACATTTGAAAACGGATCCAACACCCAGTCTGGTATTTCCAAGTTCAAAATGTCCTGGTATCATTCGGTGAAGTCAATGTGGAGTTTTTCCAAATGTTGGCCGTAGGCAAACAAGTCGTCGTTACTGTAGGATACTGACAAATTCGGAAAATTGTGAAACTCACGTCTGCCCATATTCTTTTTGTGTAGAAGCAGTTTGGCTGGGAAAGCAGCAACGACATTTTTTGTTTTAATTAAATTTAGTTCATCGCCTTGCAGTTGGAGATTCATGTCGTTGAACAATTTATACAGGTCTGTCATGTAAGCTATGTCATTCTTCGATGTAATGAGCTTGTTGCGCAATTCTGTATCTTTAGTTTCCAAGAACTCTATCACAGAGTCAAACAGGTTGTAAAGTCGTGTCAGACAATTGCCTCTTGATAGCCAACGAACTTCAGTATGAAACAACAAACGGTTGAAATCTTCGTCATTAGTAACACAAAGCTGATGAAATAATCTATCATTCAAAGAGCTGTTACGGATTTTATTGACTGCTTTGAAGACATATTGCAGTGATTGAAATAGTCGTTCACTTAAATTTCTAGCAACCAAATTTTGTCTATGAATAACGCAAGGTACAGCAGGACATCTGAATTTTATTTTTTAAGTACGCTAGGAAGCCTTTATGGCACCCTGTCATAGCCGGTGCTCCATCCGTAGCAACTGATATAATATTTTTCAAGGGAATCTCTTTCTCATCACAAAACTTTTCCAATGTATTGAATATGGTTTCGCCTTTTGTATCGGTCTCTAAATTTCTAGCAAACAATAGTTCTTCACATATTTTCTCATCTTTAATAAACCTCACGTAAGACAGCAACAATGCTTCGTTAGTTGGTAAAGTGGACACGTCGAGCTGAATTGAGAATTGACTAGTCCTCAGATTGATTCTTCAATATTTTCAGCCATTTCATCAATTCGTCTTTGCACAGAATTATTACTCAAAGGAATTTTCGGATAATATCTGCGACCGGTTTATGAAGCACAGTAGTTATTACTTCCTTTATTGCTGGTAAAATTAACTCTTCTCCTATGTTGTGTGGTTTGCCTTTTTGAGCAATTAACAAAGACATATTGCACGAAGCTCGAACTCCGTCGTCATCTTGCTTAGCAGCCGCCGAAAAGAGTTTTGCTATACACTTGGCTGAGTATTATGCTTCTTCTCCAGGTCTTGAAAATATGCTACGTTCTTGTCTTTCTTATCTGGATGCATTTTATTCAAATGATCTTGCAGTCTTGAAGGCTTCATTGCTTCATTCGAAAATATTTTTAGACATAGAAGGCACAAAGGCGACGATGGGTTTGTGGGATTTTCAATGAATCCGAATTTAATATATTCCGCACAGTATTGCCGTCTCTTCTTTTTTACCTCCGACATTGTTTTGTTTTGAGAAATACGTAAGTAAGTGTTGAACTTAAGTACTGCTTATCTGTTACGCGCGAAACCGCAAATGAAAATAAAATAAATATTACGTCATTTATATAGGATTGCATAAGCAGGACACACCGACAGGAATAAGACAAACATGCATGAACTCGTTTATCTTATTCGACGCTCAATCATACTCAACAAGTAAGAACAAGTATTCTATGAACCAGCTGATTGATACAGGAATGCACAACGGGTTATTTAACAAAAACTTGTTAAAACATGATTGCCCGCGGTCTATTAGCTACGAAAATTACTTATGTAGGAACACTAATAAATAACTATTAAAATTCGAAACTGTGTCTGTTGCCTTTTTATTTGTTTGTTTGTGTCTACTTTCATTTCGATACGTAGCGACCGATTGCCATGATTTTTATTTTATTTATTCAATAAAACAGGACAGATATATGAACTACACGGAGAGAAATATCGAACCGAGTTAGTTTGAGCAATCTCTTAATTAATATTAGTTGATGTTCACAAGTTGTAGTCGAGAGTCGAGAGCTCAGTCGGTGTCTTATTCTGGAACTAGGGGTCGTATTCTAGAACTCTACTCAATGCTCAAGTCAGGACTTGAGTATTGCAGTGAGCACTGAAAATCATACTCAAGTCTGCTCAAATTCTGACTTGAGCATTGAGTAGAGTTCTAGAATACTGTCAGGATTTGAGCAGACTTGAGTATGATTTCAAGCACTGGAAATACGACCCTAATGGCAAGGACTTGAGTATGATTTTCAGTGCTCACCGCAATACTCAAGTCCTGACTTGAGTATTGAGTTGAGTAAGAGTACTCTTCTCAATGCTTAACTCAGGATTTGAGTATGCTGTCAAACACTGGAAATACGACCCTAATGACCCTTGTCATTAGGGTCGTATTTCGATATACGTGAGTATGATTTCCAGTGCTTCAAATCACACTCAAGTCGTGACTTGACTAGAGTAGAGTTCTGGAATACGACCATAACTCTTCCTAGATGAAATTACAAATCTCCCCCTAAGCCTCTACTCAACGCCCCCATTTTTTTTCTGGGTCTCTTACCGCCCTTTAGGCCTGCAGCGCCCACAAGGGCGTGTTATCGCTCACTTTGGGAAAGGCCGCTTTACAGGGATAGCATACAGCGTAGCAAAACTCTGCTGAAGGAGAGAGGGTTTTGAGTATTCAAAAACCCTGATAGCTGCCACCGTAGAGATACAGGGAAACTGTCTTAGAAATCATTACGTATTTTTTGTAAAAACAAATTTGACGTAGTAACAAGCGTGAGTTATTTATAAAAGTGTATAATATTGACATTTTTTTTAATGCTGATCGTTTCACTTTCTTATATGGATGATTAAACGCCATAATATTTCCGTCTTTTTAAAAAAAAATAATAATTTTATGGCCTTGATTTCAAGATTTTCAGATATCGGTATAATAATCCATATTAAAATCATTGCCACAATCATAAAACTATTAAAACTGTAAACGGGTACATTTTCCTTGCCTATTACGGTTTATTTGCACTTGTGCAAAGATACAATAGCAACAGTGTTCATGGTTACGGTTAATTGACGTGCAAATATCCAATACTAGGAACTATTTATCGCGTGAATTTTTTTTCTGTTACGCTCCAAATTGCCTTATTTCACTATTTAACACTCTAGTTGTTAATAACATATCTATAACGCATAATTGCAGATGCATTGAACGAAGGTAATGGAAAAATTCAATGCATATTAATATATTTCATCACGATCATCATCAAGTCTATGGGTATTTGTGAACTGTCTACAAGGATGATTAGTCAAGGTATTGACCCTTGGGGTCAGAACTGTTGTGTAGTAAGTATTGTTGTATTTGTTCTGGTGTGCAATTAAGAGTACTTATTTGTATTGTGTAAATCATAATGTTTGCCGTTTGTGTGGTTACGTAATGTATTGAACTTTGATTTCCTGCATTAACTTATTCTAGTTGTAGAACTTATTCTAGTTGTAGTTTATTTTGTCGACGTGGCAAAATTGTATTATGCCATTTTGTTAGCAATTTAAGTCACTTAATTACCGATTCAACAACATCAAACATCTTAACATTTAACGTATTTAACATTTAACAGTATTTTATTTTCAATGTAAACTATAATATTACACCAAATACTATCCTCCAAGAACACCGCGTTGCGATCTTGATATAACATCCTGTATTCTGCCCTAAGGAAGATGCCACACGGGCGTTGCGTAGTTTCCTTTCCTATGTGTATCAAGCGCGAAAACTTAAGAATTCGGGGTTGCATTATTATTTATTTGCGTCTGAAACAACTTTTATTACTAACGACAAAAGGTAATGCTTATTTGAAGGTTTAATCATCACATTTTCATCTTGTCTTAATTTCGAGTACAGTACATAAAAATTACCTTCTCTATAGCAACATAACAATAGTGGATCTATCCACGCTGCACGCTTTCGAGAAGTAGCGTTCGGGCTTGCTTTTAGGCCTTATTCAGAGTGGCCACGCGCGCCGCGCGGGTAGATCTATTGGTTCCGTCCGCTCGTACCTTTCACAATGCTCGGTCTAGCGTCTGTTTGCGATTTCGACGTGTGGATCTACCCGCTCGTAGCCGCTTCGGTACTGTGAAAGAGAAGACGCCAAGACCCGGGCGCCCGCACCCGCCGCCGCGCCCGGGCCTGCACTGTAAATGAGCCCTTATACCTTTTACAACTGTGCTTCTGAGTTAGTAATTGGATACGAGATGTTAGCTGCCCGCTGCAGAATTCTTGAAACTGCGCGAGAAGTCTCAGAAAAATACACGATGTGGACCCCAAGTCTGCTAAATTTATTAGCAGGTAGTATTTTGTACGTTTGGTATTCTGCAAAAAGTTAAGTGTAGTAGTGTAGGCTTGTTTAATTTTTATAACATCAAGAGACGGGGCGAACAAGTCATGCGCGTGATGGTAAGCTACACGCATGTCTATAACTGTTACAGTGCCACTCAGAGCTTTAAACTGCAAAGATCTGAGGGGCACTACCACAGCGCCCGTCACCCTGCGACATAACTTGACAAGTCCCGTGTGCCTGTAATTTCACCAGCACCCTACAAAACTGGAACACAGTAATGATGACTTTACTGCTTGGCGGCGGAAATAGGCAAGGTGGCAGTAATGCCTTGTACGAACTCTGTCATAAGGAGCTCTACTATTAATGATTAAACGAAATGAGAGTTGAGATGTGCATAGTTATTTTCATGATAGTGTGATTGAATGAATAAATGACACCAATGACATACCACTGACACTCTATTGAGGCTCAACTGCCATTGTAACTGGATTTTAGCAGAATACCAAATATTATCATAAGTGCTATATAATTTCAGTGGAATTACAATGACCAGTGGATTCAAGAACATTAGCGGACTTGAGGCCCTTGTTTTTTGTCTGGTTCATTATGCTATGTGGTTACAAAAATTAGCTTCCTTACAGTTCCGCGGCAATGTAAATTGCGCCTTCTGGAAGGCGGTTCGTTGCGGTAATTATTTGCACGCATCACATTCTATTTAATGTTAGGCAACCCTATTAGAAAACATAAGTATCACTAAAATATGTGTTATCTATTTCTAAGTTCCTTTAATAAAAAAAATTAAGAGTGAAAATTCATATTGTCATAATGAAATATTTGCAAAACATACATGTGGCGTAATTTGCTGAAAATGTTTTCGGAGTAATTAAATTCGAAAAAAGACTTTCGTGTTTGCGATAGGTTGTCTTTGAAAACGTATGAAGTCCTCATTTGGCCAGCGTGGCGGACTAAGGTCATATAGTAAGGCTTGTCCTTGGAGGAGACCTGTGCTCGGCAGTGGGCCGCGTAATGGGTTGATAATGATGAATTTCATATTAATGTACTAAGTTTTATGAAAAAAATTAAAATTTAGACATAGTTCTTTATTAATTTCAGTTCATGGAAACGATGCAACTCGAGTACGATGCGCAGGCGCAAGAGAACGGCGTGTATATAATCAGCGCGTGCGGCTTCGACAGCATTCCTAATGACATGGGGATAGTTTTTTTGCAACAGAACTTTGAAGGTATTGTACAGTATATTTCGTCAGTGGTTATATTATAATGTATGTAAGATGCACAACAAACATTAAAGCGAGAAATATTGTGCATTATGCAGTGTTGTAAAGATAAATTGTCACTGAATTCATTATTAATAAAAAGATCGAACACAGAGAAAAATTCATTCGACCGGACAGGACTTCCAACTTGCGACCACGGGATTCCGTCCCCATTGCTTTACCAATTAAGCTATAGATCGAGTTTATTATGTCGACGAATTTCTTCTGTGTCTGTTATAGATTAGATATTTTTTCGGCTTTCGACACCGTACCGACATCTGTGAGAGATTTTATGAACCTTCTCGCTCAGCCGGTAACTTTCGAAAACCGAAAAAACTGAAAGCAGATATCTATAACAGCCATAGAGGAAGACGAACGACGAACGACCGACTTGTTCGTCCCGTCACTTGATGTTGTAAAAAAAATGACGAAGTAGATTTACCATCATTAGGAAACGTGTAAAGTCTCCAATCCGCACTTACCATTCTACTTACAAGGGACCCATGCAGCGGGATCTATGTTGTATCTATTTGAAATGTAAATTGATGGTCCACTATGTTGTGTGTCAAATATGTTAACGGTTATTCTGTGTTAATATTCAGTTTAATTTAAATTTGTATGCTGTAACCAGCTAGGTGAGACAATCGAGTATATTACGTCTCTGTAAACCACACTTCTTTTCACTTCTTAATCGCTTCCTCACTGCTGAGGATCGTGACTCCACTTTATCCTGCCAACCATTTGCCTGCATTAGTTGCGGTCAGACGTATGGTGTAATGCGGCGCTGACACGTAACTCCAGTTGTTCGAAGATCTGATCCGACCGCCTTTTGAGGTTCCTGCTTCTAGGTCTCTTTCCCTCCACCTTCCCTGTCCCCATCAAACGCGCCAGGTTATCAGCATCTCTGCGTGTCACGTGACAAAAATAGCGTATCACACGCTGCATGCAAGTTGAAGACTCGCTGTGCATTCTTTATCCAACTTTATCATTATCAGTGGGTGGACTATGATGATGATGAGGCACTCGTGTACAGGTACCGTGAACTCGGTGGAGTCGTACCTGAGCACGTACATCCCGCCGGAGCTGCGCGCCGAGGCCGCCAGGACGGGCATGGTGCACTACGGCACCTGGGAGTCGCTCGTGTACAGGTCGGTCATCAGTTATATAGCATTAGAGCTCCTTGTGAAAGCGTTCGTTCAGGGAAATACTGCCTTGCCTATTTCTGTCGCCAAGCTGTAATGTGAGCATTATTGAGTTCCGATTTTGAAAGGTAAAGGTGCTGGTGAAATGGCTGGCACATGGGACTTGCCAACTTATGTCTCAGGGTGACGGGCGCAGTGGCAGTGACCCTAAGATCTTTGCGATTTAAAGCTCTAAGTGGCACAGCAACTGTTGTGGATAGGCATGTCTCTTGTCACCAGGCGCACGACAACTGTTGTGGATAGGCACGTCTCTTGCCACCAGGCGCACGACAACTGTTGTGGATAGGCATATCGCTTGCCACCAGATGCACGCCTTGTTCATCCCGGGTGCTATAAAAGAAAGCATCATTTGAGATTGTTAAAATTTCCAATATTTAATGAACGTTGCTGAACACAAACTAAGGGGCTCAAGATCGTTATTCAAATGCAGGATTTGTTTCACTTGAGATCTATTAATAGAGGAGAGCCTGAAATGCATCCTGATATCTGATCTATTTGACGGATCTAAATTCACATGCCTGTAGTACCTTTTGGTAAAAACAAAAACATCGTGATGAATTTATCGCAAGTTCACAACCTTTGGAAACCGTGTAATTTGTTTGTTTAAGACTGTCTTATGCATAATATACTTAAAACAGTTTTTTTTTATTACAATTTCTGGTTTGGATTTAAGTCCTTTAAGCCAGGTCTTGATTTAGTTTTCGGGATTCTCAATAAATGTTTTCTATTGTGTTTATATTGTCATATTTGTATAATGGCAATAAACAACTTTGGATTTTTTAAATAGTCTTTTAAGCGGCGGGGGTCATTATTCATGTTTTCACTTTCACTTAAATCACTCATTAGGTATTTCTTCTTGTATTCTTCTATACCACTTGTATTTTATATCTTCATTCTTTTTTCATAATGTTGTCATAATCATAATTGAAAATTTTCTATCTTTCAGCGTCGTTGCACTTCAAATTCCCGCCATTTTTGGAATTAAAATTGTTCATTATTTTTATTATGTTGTCAGCGTTGCGCACATGAAAGAATTGGCGCCACTGCGGAAGAAACTGTATCCTGAACGAATGCCAACTTTCAAACCTAAACTTCAATCACGGTAATTATACTTATAAATCTCATTTTTGAATGAACCAAATATGAACGAACGAATGAATTAATGAAATATTCTGTATTGCTCACAGAATAGTAATTTATGTAAATGAAAATAACGTAATGTACTTATACAACAGGCGGCCTTATTGCTCCGTAATTTCTTCCATGCAAACTTACTCAAATTCCCTGTACGTTAAGTATAATATTTTTATCGATTTGTGAATGTGTAATTAAGTAATTAGGTTGCTATTTATCAGGCGGTTTAAATGCGTTATCGTTGTTATCGAAAAAAGGACAAATCTACAAGATGTAACAATAAGGCGTGGTTGCGTTACGACTGGTGATTGTAATAATATGGTATGGTAATGATAATCAATAATGTTTAGTATAACAAATGTTTTTTTTTCAATGTACAATTATACAATCAGCTATGATTGTCAAATGGTACTGTTCAACTCTGGCGTTTTTTAAGTTTTTGTAACCTGAATAAATTATTAAAAAAAAGATAATAAAGAAAATAAGGAATGAATTTTTTAAATTGATAATAAATTAATTTTTTATTGAATTGATATTAAATTATTTTTTGTGAAATTACTCCACTAGTTTGTTATAATTATTAATACAAAGATCGAACACTCAGAAAAAACACTCAGAAAAAATTCCTTCGATCGCCAGGACGGGTAGCTGTAAAGGTACTAACTGGGTGATAAATCTGTCAAAGATTTCTCATAGATGGCGCTACGACTAAAAAGTTGTTGAAATACCAAGTACAAAGACACGACGCAAGCACATAGAAAAATTCGTGAGGTCCGTTGGTTCGTTCCGTGGCTTAGTTGGTATAGCGTCTGGCACGGTATGCAAGAAGACGTCGGTTCGAATTTGATAATCAGTATTAGAAATTGTATCTTGGTGATGGTATGGGACGGATGATTACGTGACAAAGTGAAGAATGGTGTGGTTTGAAAGAGGAGTAATTCCAAATTGAAACAATATTTTTCATCACTTTTGTGTGTAAATAATATGAGTCTGTAATGCGAAGAAAAAAGGGCTGAGGGTTTTGTTTGGGGCATTACAATGGAGTTAGCTCGCATGCAATAATACTAGCTATGTGGAAGTGTGATGAAAACGATTTTAAAATTTGCATCCTTTACGGAAGAATGGCATAAGTAGAGTTACGTCAAACACGTTTATTGCTCCATTTGACACAGAATAATATAGCTCGCACCAATTCTTGTAATTCTATCGCCCGATATTGAAGATAGTGTTACAAGAATTGGACAGGGCGTGGGTTATGTTTGCGTATCTAACGGAGCAATGTTTTTGACGAATCTCCACTCCTCCGCGAGGGGTGCAACTGTTGCACCGTGACCCGTGCCGCAGCGGCGTCCTGCACAAGAGGGGCGGCAAGTGGTTCCTGCCGTTCCCGGGCGCCGACGCGTCCGTGGTGTACCGCTCGCAGCGGCGCCGGTTCGAGGCCGGGCAGCGGCCCGCGCAGTTCCGGCCCTACGCGCGCGTGGGCGGGCTGGGCGCGTCGCTGCTGGCCGTCGCCGCGGCGCTGCTGCTGTACCTGCTGGCGCTCTGCGGCCTCAGCAGGAGGCTGCTGCTCGACCACCCCAGGTACCTTTTAATTGCCAGTTATGCTTAGCTTGTTATTACCAACTTCAACCGTCGAGTGGTAACGTCGGCAGCGCTGCGTTCCGGTTTCGAAGGGTAAGGGTGCTGGCGGAACTACATTCGCATGGGACTTGTCGACTTATGTCTCAGGGTGACGGGCGCAGCGGCAGTGCCCCTCAAAACTTTGCGATTTAAAGCTCCGAGTGGCACTGCAACTTTTATACTACTGTATTTTCGTAACCGCTCTTCTAGTTGGAACTCATTTTCGCGACAAAAAAGAAAACAATGCAAACGCACATTACTTAATAAAAAATACTTAATTTTACCACCTTCTTTATTAAGTAAGCGGTACAAACAGACTCTTATAATCGTACAGACCGTCGGTTACCAAATGACTAAGATGTTTAAAAGAAGTCAATCTATTCAGTAGTTGACCGTTAAGACAGATAAAAAGAACATGTGACGGACACTCACTTCCCGCTTCAAAAACCCCATCGCTCCTCCGATGAAACAGTGACTTAACTTAAATTTTTAGAACTTTTACGGAAAACAAACTGAGTTTTATGTTCAGATTATTGAGCACATTTTAAAGAGGTCTTAAATTAATATTTAACATAATTGTTTCAATTGCGTCCACTATGGAAAATGAAAGAATACATAATGTGCCTGTGTTCCTTCATATAAATCGCCTTCTTAAAATGACCACGCATCACCTTTTTTGCAGATAAAAATCTATGTTTCACCGAAAGTGCGATATATTTTTGGTTTTTTTATAATATCAAGTGACAGGACGAGCAAATTGTGCGCCTGGTGTTAAGTAACACACCTGTCCCTGACAGTTGCAATGCCACTCAGAGCTTTAAATCGCAAAGATCTACGGAGCACTACCACTACGCCCTTCACCCTGTGTACGTCAATAAGTTAACAAGTCCCATTGCCTGTAATTTCACCAGCAACCTTACCCTTCAAAACCGGAACACAGTAATTAATGCTGACGTTACTGCTTGGCGGCAGAAATAGTTAAGGTGGCAGTACTTCCCTGGAGGAACTCTTTCACAACGCGCTCTACTGCTACTACGATATATTCGCTTCTGAGCATTTTACATGTAAGGTGAAGGGAGACAATAAAACAGTGACAACTAGAAATGGACTTTGATTTGGTGCAGGTTCTTCTCGCTGGGGATAGTCTCGCGCTCGGGCCCCAGCGAGGCCGTGATGGCCAACTCGCACTTCCGCTTCTCGCTGTTCGCCAGCGGCTGGAGCCGCGGCCGCGACCTGGACGGGAACCAGCCTGACAAGACCCTCGCCGCCGTGGTCGGTCGCCTGGCAGAGAAGTCTTTAGCGTAGCCGTGGACTGATAACTCGAGAGGACTAGAGACTAGACTAGTCGGGTATTTAGTATCTATTTGGTACACCCGATGTCGCGCCGAGTACCGTATAGCTATTTTTGTAACTAATTTGTTTTACATCGACGAGATGCAATATATCAGCTAGTCTAATTTCTAGTGATAACAAACAAATCAACTAGATGGCGCTTATTGCGCAGATTTTATGGATAGTGCTAGGTATTATTTTGTTTAGGATCAGCGCCATCTACCCATATTAGGAAGCGTTAATTTGTAAATTAATTTGTGACATTTGTTCAGGTAATAATTTTAGCACATCATCAATATTTGAATAATATTACAAGGCAAAAACTGACTTCTTATATTTCATATTAACGAGGAGTTAATTAATATCCACTGCCATTTACGTGATATGAATCCCTTCCAGGTAATTTTTGATCGGCACCATCTGGATGTAAGACGGAATTGAAAATTTTTCCAGGGTTACGACCTGTAGTATGAAGATTAGCAGTCCCCTAGAGTTATTGGTCCATTGTATAGTATTAACCGTGACCGAACGATTGCCTTGTTGGTCTCCCACGCAGAGGTCCCGGGTTCGATTCCCGGGAGAAATATTTGTTTGGCCTACATTTATTTCTCTCGTGAGTTTGAGTATCTTTTGTCGTTGTCTATGTGTGTGTCCATGGCACCCGCGATACAGGGTTTCCTTAGGGCTACGAGTGTGTGAAAGTAAAGAAAAAAGTATAATAGGACAAACAGGGCAACTCCTGCCTGTCCCGTCAATGGCTAGAGGTCGTTCGGAGTTTAGGCAGTAGCGTAGCGTCGATGTCTACAACCCGGGGCCAATCTTTTGCTGCCCCCTCTATTTTCACGAATACAAAAGTTGTTCGTTCGGGCAGACTCGGTTCCATTGGTTTTCATGTCGGGGAAACAGTCTGACATTCAATAAAATATTTAATAACAAGTTAATAGCGACATCTGTAGCCAGGGCTGGTAGCTGTAAACGTATTTAACTGGGTGACGAAATACTTTCATAGATTTCTCATAGGTGGCGCGACGGCTAGAAAGTCGTTGAGAACCAATTACAAAAAACCTTGAGTATGATTTCAAGCACTGGAAATACGACCCTAATGACAGGGACTTGAGTATGATTTCGAGTGCTTTAAACCATACTCAAATCCTTACTTGAGCATTGAGTAGAGTTCTGGAATACGACCCTTAGATTGCAGTTGTACCTACAGGTTACAAACATAATTACAAAATACAAAGTTATATATATAATGAAATGAAATGAAAATTTATTTGCTTAAAATATGGTGAACAAGAGATGGAACATAGTAGAGAGATAGAGCGCTTATTTTACCACATCTGGCATACAACATTTATTTATTTATTTCAAACGCAAGTCATAACAATACACGTTCCATTAGGTTAGTACTTATTGCTATGAGATCCCGCAGGGGTATGGCACTTAGTCGCCACATTTTGGTTTACATTATTGTTCACACATTACAAAATATAATAATAATAAAATAGTAATAATACAATTTAGATTAAAATAACATGTCAATTATCCATCATCAGTCTTCGTCAAATACATAAAACAACATAACAACATAATTTAACAAAAAACTACGCAAGTTTGTGAATATAAAATTCATTTAAGTTATAATAGCACTTGTGTGAAATTTCTGTAATTTGTCTCACATCTTAGGTATTCGGGTAGTTTATTGTGAATCTTTATAATTACTGTCAATTAAGTAACATTAAGAAAAAAAAAATGTTATTATCGTTAAAAATAGAAACTACCATTTCAAATATATATTTATTGCTCGGTTAACCCCTTTGTTTACATTTTGGACGTCTAATAATGATTCCTACTATAAACTTACGCTTGTTATGCCTGAAAAATAAATAAATAAATGACAGTTTCAATAACTGTGCAAACGTCAAACAATAATGGCCCCGTACGGTTCCGTGGTGCAGGTGAGCGGTGTGAACCCCGGCTACGGCGCCACGGTGACGGGGCTGCTGCTGTCGGCGGTCACGATACTCAAGGAACTGGACAAGATGCCTGGCAGGTGAGCTTCACTTCACCCTCTCCCCGTAACCTCGTCAATGAACGTCAAGCTCTTATTATAAATTGCCTCGTCTCAACTAGAGAATGCCCTATGAGTAACACAGTCATGAATTCAAGTCCAGAATAGTTGGGGCTAACTTAGAGACCGGTATCAATTTAGAGAAGTTCGTTTTCTATATTGGTCCTACTGGTGATCGAACCTCCCTACCAAGCACCTATTAGCTCAATCCGCTGGGCCACCGAGATCATCAATATGTCCTTAGTTCGATTCCCACCGGCACCACTGCTCTTTTCGAATCACGTGAATCTTATTATAGCGTATATTATACGTATAAAATATAAAAACAGCAGGACTATATTACTAACATCATAAACGACGACTTTTGTACCATGACAGTTTACAAAACATAATAAATTTTTCAAAAATACATTTTTAAGTTTTTGTTGTATTATCTGGCAATTTTTATATCTGTGTTTGGTAGTAAAGTTCAAACGTGCAAGCGTCCTCCGCAACGATTTCCACCCCCGTCCTGCACAGAGTAATTACGTTTATAGCGATATATTTAAATGTATTTATTTTTGAATGAAATTAAAATCTGAAGATGATGAGATTATGATGTTAGTAATATAGTCTTGCAAGGTTGTTAGTATTTTACACACAACCTTATATATATTGACCCTTGTTAAAACCACTGTCAAGAATAGCCAGGTTTGTTGCTGTTCCTCCAGTAACATCATGGTGTATCAGTGCTATCCATGAAAAAAAAAACTACTTTACTCTTAAATAGCTCTTCTTTGCACTGGTCGATTAAAAGTTTCTTCAGTAATGAAAATAAAATTTATTTTTCCAGTGGCGGAGTATTAACAACGGCAGTGGCTTTCAAAGACACGGATCTGATCAAACGCCTTCAAGATAATGATTTCAAGTTCGAGATTGTCGCTGATAAATAAAATACGTCTTACAGTATTTTTCTTGCGCTTACTTACACTTATTCCAATAGCATTTTAATATTTTGAGGGATTTAGAAGCAACTTGTTATTTATTAATTTTGGTGAAAGTTCATTTATCAGCATCGCTCATTTACTGCAGAGACAATGGCCAGATATATCTGTCAGTGTTGGGCAAAATTTAATTGTTCTGGCAATTAAATATTGACAATTGATTAATTGTCAATTGCGAAACAGCAATGAACAATTGATCAATCGTTAATCGCAAATATCTACAATTAACAATTAATCAATTTTCAATCTTTTCAATGTTTTTGATTAACAATTAACAATTGAAACTGACAATTATGATAAATTTATAAGGCATATGGGGGTGAGTTAGGGCGTTGGTTGTGGGGGCCTGTTGGGGGCCTGCTGGGGGCAGGTTAGGGGGCCGGTTGGGGGGCCGGTTGGGGGCCGGTTGGGGGCAGGTTAGGGGGCCCGGTTG